TGGTATGTGCAGAGGCTAGGGGTTAGGGTTTGAGGGTAAGGGCTAGGATTGCATCCTTACCAACCAAATGGAAGGAATGAGCTCAAGTGGTAGGAAGTCCTTCCTGGCTTGGAGAGCAATGTGGGGGACATGCTCAGTGCAGGCTAAGGACAGCCCCTTGGGAAGCCTTTGGGAATAGGATTGCACAGGCAGTGTGAAAGGTCAGGGCTAGTAAAGTCCTTGGAGGTCTTTAGTCCAACCCTGCCATTGCACAGAAAGGAAATTGAGGCTCAGAGAGACTAACACTGTGGCCTGCTGAACCCCTGCTGGGGAGTGACAGAACTGGGAAGAGTAATGTGCTTTTGCTGCAATGTAGAGGAACTTTGACTGTGATGGGTTCGGTCAGGCTGGAGCCATGGGAGGCGTTGCTTAACAGGCTGTGACCTATGGTCTGATGTCTTAGGCCAGTTGGTCTGTGCTTGGGGACTAATAGTCCTGAGGGGGCCTCATCCCCACAGGAAGAGGGGAGGGAGCAAGGAGACAGGATGTGGAGGGCAGGGAGCTGCTGGCGCTGGGGAAGTTTTCGTGGAGAGAAAAGTGGGTGGAGGTGGGGGCAGTTTAAATCTCTCTGGCCTGAGTTCAAGTCCACTGGGTTTCCTTCTGTCTTTGCATCCCCTTTCTCCAATTGCTTCTTAATTCTCCTCCGAGGTGGAAACCTCATTACTCCTCTTCTAAAGAGGTTTTGCAGAAATGAATTGCTAAGGCCACTTCACCTTTCCCTCTCCCTGTCCAGGGCCAGTGATGAAGATTTGTTTATTTTTCTACCTAGAGATAGCTCAGAGCCCAGGGAAAAGCCCAGCTCCTCTGTCCTAGAGGAGGGCAGAGCCGGGTGACTTCTTAAATCTGGCCAGACAGAGTCCCAGAATGCCAGGCCTCGGCCCCATCGTTGCCTGGAGAAGGGCTGAGGGTTGCAGGCTCTGGGCAGGCCGAGTCTCCCCTTGCTGGCGATGATGGGGCTGGAGGCCTGCCGCAGGGCGGTGGGTGCTTCCCCTAGTGTGTGCCCAGTGTGCTCCAGGCATTTCACTTCTGCTAATTCCTATATTCCTCACCGAAATCCAGTGGAGAAGACCCTGTGATCAGGGTGTCACAGATGAGGAAACTGGGGCTCCAAGAGGTAAAGAGTACTCACGGACACCAGCTGAGAAAACCAAGGTGAGGGAATCCCAGTTTCCCGACTTCAAAACCTCTGCTGCCCACCCCGCCCTGCCACTAGGAAGCTGGAGTGAAAGAGGCGTCAGAGCAGGAGTGGGTCAGGAATTGGGGTTCAGAAGATAGAAGCAGCTCCTATTGACAAGGAGAAGCAGGCGACCTTCGGAGCCTCTGTAAACCTCTCCTGCTCTCTAGAGGAACTTCTAAACTAAGCTGTTGAGATTGGTCTGCTCTAGTGGAGGGAGGCCATTGGGGAGCTGAAGGCAAGGTGGGAGAAAAGTCCCATTAACGGGGGAGACAAGGTCTGTTGGGCAGTGACCGGACCACAGCCTGGCTGCTGGAGTCCTGAGTTTTAATCCCAGCTCTGTTCCCAGGCCTGTGACCTCAGAGAAGACAGTTCCTCTTTGGACCTCAATTTTTGGATCTCTGCCATGAAGTGACATGATTTCTGGGGCCTCTTCCAGCAGAGATCCTGTGATTTTAGTCTTGGATGTTCAGATGGGGCCTTAAGAAAGGGGGACAAGAAAAGACTTAAGAGGGTTTGGTTGGGAGGGCGTTGTCCTCAGGAGCATAAACATACTTGGGAGCTGTCACACACGCAGCCCCTCAAAAAGACACACATGCAGCAGCCCCCTCGTGCATGAGGTCCTTCTCTTGGGGGATGGTACTTCCTGTTCACAGGGTCTGTGTCTACTTCTCCTCTCCTGAGGACCACTGTGCCTCACTCCTTGTACTCAGGGGAGATGCTCTAATAATTAACAGGCATGGCACAGGCTCCGGCCAGTCAGAGCGGTGGTGGCTGTAAACAGCTGGTGTAAGACTGTGCCAAGGTACGCTAGCTATATACCACCCTTGTTCCCACATGTGATTCCTCTGGTAGAGCCAAGAAAGGTAAGAGGGAGACAAGGGAACAAGAGGCTGGGGAATCAAAGGCAGGAAGAGAGATCACAGGTTCTCCTGTCCCTCCTTAGCACCCCGTGGTGCTGTCAGCCCAGCCTCCTCACTGCCTCTCAGAGCTCCCTTCCCATGCCTAGTGCCCTGAACAAAGCAGTCTTGCTCACCAGCTGCAGCTGCATTTTGGAGGCTGATGGAACAAAGGGGATCTGGTCTGTATTCCACGTGATCATCCCACACTTGACAATGGGCAGGGGACCCCCAGGGATTCCACCCCTATCTCACGGCAGAGTTGGTGCTTTACTAAGCCTAATGGGAAGAGACCAAGGCTTTGTCTTACTCACTCTTGGCCATTAGCTATCAAGTCCCAAGGGAATCCCAAAGTCCCCTTCCTCTCTGTTTTACTCTGCTGCTAGCCTACTCCATCCAGGGACATGGCGGCAAAGACCTGGATTACCTGCAAAGCAATCCAGGTCTTTGCCGCCACGTCCCTGGATTGCTGTGCTAGCCTGTGGGCTGCTTCTCCTATCCTCAGCCTCTAGGATGGTTCTCTTTTTCCTTATAAAGTTTCTTGATTGCTTATCAGTTGCTAGTAGCCTAGATTTTCATCCATAGTTTTTGACTGATTAATAAGGACCCCTCTTTCCTCGTTTTCCATGAGCATAGGTCATTTCCCAATTGGTCAAGAGATATTTATTGAACCCTCATGGAGCATAAGGCTTTTATTGGCTATAGAAATGGGGTCCAGGCGTGGTGGCTCACACCCGTAATCCTAGCACTTTGGGAGGCCGAAGTGGGTGGATCACAAAGTCACGAGATTGAGACCATCCTGACTAACGGTAAAACCCCGTCTCTACCAAAAATACAAAAAATTAGCCAGGCATAGTAGAATGTGCCTGTAGTCCCAGCTGCTCAGGAGGCTGAGGCCAGAGAATCTCTTGAACCCGGGAAGTGGAGGTTGCAGTAAGCCAAGATTGCACCACTGCACTCCAGCCTGGTAGACAGAGCAGGAGACTGTCTCAGAAAAAAAAAGGAAAAAAAAAAAAGCAGGTAGGGGCGGGGGAAGTCTGTCCAAGAAGCAGGAGAACACAGCCCCTGCCCTACAGGAGCCCTCACTATATTTGTGAGAGCCAGCAGCAAAAAGATAACCAATAATACAAGGCAATCTTCCATAATGTGTTATTTGAGGCTTTCTTGGGCCTACTAAAAAGTCTGTCACAAAGTTTATAAAAAAAGATAAAATAGAGCTGGTAAAAAATTCTAGAATGACAGTTAAAACAGAACATGATGTATGAGAGGCCAGATGAGATTAAACTAAATTATTAGCTAGGACTTAGGAAATAAAGCAGTGTTCTCTAGAAGTTACCTTGAGTTCACTAGGAACAAATTATGCCACATTTATCTTATTTTCTCTTTTGATAAGATTCTAGAGCTTTGTTCAAAGAGTGTCATAGATTTAGCATATCTTGACGTTCCACAGGGCTTTAGGAGAAATCTCTCATGTTGACTTTATAGAAAAGAGGGCTAGATGAGAGCACAGTCACATAGATTTAGAGCTGGTTGAAGGACTGTCCCCTGAGAATACTGACAAAAGTTCCCTGGTATTCCTACATCATTAGGGTCTATGTCCTTGATGTGGTCAACATTTTAGCAATGATGTGGGTGATGACTACAGTGGCATTCTAATCTGTTAATGATCTGAATCCAGGAGAGATAGCTAAGAATCAAAATTCTAAAGTATCTTGACTGTAAACCAATGATATTCAACAGGGATAAAAACAGAATCCCCAATTTATGTCCAAAAAATTAAGATCTGTAAGTATGGGATGGGGAGAATCTGGCCAGGTAGCAGTTTGGTGCATAAGCTGTGGTCTCTTTACTGAACCCCCTTAGGTTGTCAGGAACCAGTGATTGAGGATGGTCCTGCCTCTCAGGAGGCCTGGGTACTGATTGTTAGATTTAATTGATCTGTAGGGCATGTAGCATCAATGACGGTGGTAGTGTTCCTTCTCAGGCTGGTCATCCTTGGCCTAGGCTTTCTTAGTGGTGAGCCAGAGACTTAACCCTTTCTGTTCCAATGACTACTCAGCTGTTAAATATCCATCAGTTCTGGTCTCTGGACAGAACGGTGTCCTTTGTTCTTGGTTGGTATGAAAAGAAAACCTGAGCAGATTTATTCCGTATGTCAAACGCCATTCCAATGATCAGTCCTATTTCTGTACCCAGGCTTCACTCTGATTCCCCTGGGTAACTCTCTGAGGACAACTGGCCTCTTCCTTCTAGAAGGATCAGTGAACCACTGCCTGTTGCTATTTCACATTCATCCAAGCATGCCTGAGTACAGAAGACAGAGCAGATCACTGTACAAGTCTCTGTAGCATTCCATCCCCTCCTCCTCCGGAGACCCAGGCTCTAGGAGCTATGCCACAGCATTAGCTCAGTGTTTACTCTGCCAGCCTTCTTCCCCTCTTTCCTCCCCACTGGACTGTGCCTTCAAATCAGTTATCCCCAGACCCTGAAATGAATCCAGTGAGTAAAGGAGCCTTGCTGGAAGCTGATCTTACAGAAGACAGGGAATACGGTCCTGTCTGTACATTCATGGAAAGTCAGCTCTGGCCACCTGGAAGTCCCATTCAGTGACTCCAGCCTTTGTCCTTCTCTAGGGGGAAGGAAGGGGAATGTGAAAGTGTGTTGGCAGGTAACACTCAGAGGGCATGGTTGGGAGGATATGTAAATACCTCCATGTGGAAAGAGCTGGAGGGAACAGATGGAAGCTGTGGGAGGAAGTGGGGGGCCTTTGCTATTGGATTGAGGGCTCCCTGCAGCCTGTGGGACAGAGGTCATGAAGGCAGAGTGACCTCTGCCCTGGCCTATCTGACCGTATGCCTGACCACCCTGTGTTCTCTCTTCCTGTCCAGATCACAATGAGGACCTAGGGCATCTGCCTGCTGACACCTCCTGGCCTGCAGTGACCATGGCCCCTCGCAAGAGGAGCCGCCACGGCCTGGGCTTCCTGTGCTGCTTCGGGGGCAGTGACATCCCCGAAATCAACCTCCGGGACAACCACCCTCTGCAGTTCCTGGAGTTCTCCAGCCCCATCCCAAACACAGAGGAGCTCAACATCCGCTTCGCAGAGCTGGTGGTCAGTGAGAGAGTGGGGAGGGACGGTGACAACGGGGAGGAGGGTGGATGGACGGGCAGAGCTGGACAGAGGGCAGGGCCTATGTGCTGGGGCCTCCATCTCTCAAAATTCCTCTTGGGAGGAGGTAGGTCCCCAGGATACCTCAGCTATGTGGGGGAAGCTGAGTCTCTTGCTGGGAAGGACACCATAAAGTGTGTCCCCAGAACAATGGTCCTCTCTCCTCTCTGCATTGGATTATAGACCACGTGGTGCAGTAGTTGGGTTATCATAGGAAGGAGTAGCTCTGGGTTTTGCAAAATAAGATGGTGAGACATCTCAAAGAACATCAGCACATTTGACACCTTTCTCTCTTCTGCTCTTTGGAGTTTCCCTGGGAGCTTCTAATGTCCGAGGCACAAAGAAGGGGCAGAGCGGGATTCTGTCGGGAGACACTGGGCACCTCGGAACAGGGGATGATTGGCTGGGAACATGGAGGTGAAAATGCCTGTGTCATGCTTGGGTTCCAGTTCAGGCCTGGGATGATTATGTGCTGTGCCTAGCAAGGGGCAGGCGGAAGCTCTGCCATTCACACCAGGGCCAGCCTATGCTGACTCTGTAATGCCCGCCCAGACCAGCCCTCAGACTGCCCTTGGGAGAAGCCCTTGTGTGTGCAGCTTTATACCTTGCCCGGCCACAAAGAGACAGACTAGGAAAGAAGCATGATTCCAGACCTCTTTGGTGGTCTGATGGTGAGACAAAGTCTGCACACCAAGGGAGGTCCCAGGCCTGGTAAAGAGCCATAAGTACAAGCTCATCTACCATTAGCTCTTGGTCACTCATTCTGTGGTGGGCCATTAGTAAGCCAGTAAAGAAACAATGCCGTGTGGTTGGAATGTGGGTTTCTTCTTGTATTTGCTAATAGATATACCTGGTCAAGCCAATTCAGCTCTTTAAATAAGAGGGTAAGATGAGATTATGCAGGTTAGATGAAAAAGTTGTCCAGCTTCCTCGTCACATCAGGTTTAGGAAAACTCATTGTTTCCCGATATTTAGCTTTCCTCTGGAAGGGGCGGTGGTAGGGGACAAAGTGTTTGCTAGTGTAGAATCACATCTGGAGCCCAATTAGTGTTAGTCAGGGATGTTTTCTTGAGTAGAGTGAGTTTTGAAAGAAGGACATGATGGGCAGTGTTCCTTTTTTTGGCTCTTTCATTCAATAGATATTTACTGAGCATCTTCAGCGGGCAGGGACCCTTGCATGCACTTTAGCAAGAACACGGGTGAGTCAGACAAGTCTTGCCTTTAAGAAGAGTGACATCAGGTGTCTCTCAAACAAGTGAACAGTATTTCTTGGAAAGACTTCTGTGGGCTGGGCTGTATGGGGGTCCTAGTGATGTCGTGATGAACCATCAGACACCTCCCTTACCTCCAAGAATGTGAAAGCCTAGTAGGGAAGACTGATATTGAGTCAAGTGTGATGAGTGCTGGGACACATGTGATGAGGTGAGGAGCATTTGGGGATGGGGGCGTGGGAGTGTCTAGCAGGGAGCTGTATTCTAGACTCGGAGAAATCACAATGACCTCTGTGAGCAGTGACATTTCCACCGAGATGATTAGATAATTGAATGGGGTTTAGGACAATGACAGAGGGTCTCCTGCAGAAGACACAGCATATGTGAGTCTCAAGTCAGAAAGTCTCTGGGTCCTTTTGGGGTACACAATGAAGACCAGAAGAACTGAAGTTTTTGGATTAAACCCTAAGGGCAGTGGAAAGCAGTGGAAGATGTTAAGCAGAGATTTCAGGTGATCCGATCTGTTTTTCTAAAAGACCATGCAAGGTACTCTGTTAAAGAAGGGTTCTGGGTTGACCATGTGGGGGCTCTAGCCTCCCAATTCTATAGGTTAGAGACAATGGTGCCTTAGAATAAAGTATTAGCAGTAAGAATGGAGAAAAATGGACATATTCAAGAGCCATTTAGGAGAAAAGATAATAGGACTTAGAATCAAAGAGTGAGTAGAAATCAAAGAACACCGTGGTTTCTGACATGAAGTGTTAGATGGATGTTGGGGCCCTAAACATGAAGATATAATGGAGGAGATTCAAGCTTATGGGGCTGGGATGGTGAATTCAATTCACACATTCGTTCTGTGCATCAGTGTCCTTATCTGTAAAGTGAGTCGTTATAAGTTATAAATAAATGAACATTACATGCTTAGAACAGTGCCTGGCACATAGTAACACTATGTAAGTACATCAGAGCAGAGACATACAGGAGACAATTGGGCTCCAGGGTCTGGAGCTCAAGAAACCGTTGGCCTAGGGATGCAGGTTTGAGAGAGTTTGAGATAATAACTGAGTCTTGGGGAACAGGTGAGGGAGGATGGTGCCCTGAGGAACTTCAACATTTAAAGGTAGGATAGAGGAGAAGTCATCAAGGAAGCCCATGCAGGAACATAGGGTGAGACAGGAGAGACCGGTCAGGAGGGTTGTTGCTGAAGAAACAAAAGAAGTGAGATTTGATAAGGAGTGAGAGTCAGCGGTCAGTCATATGCAGCCTGGGTTGAGCCAAACTACCATTAATTTAGAGATATAGAGACCACTGGGGAAAAGACACCTGTCTTGATGACCCAAATACAAGCTCACATGGAGCTGTGCTGCAGTTCAGGAAGGGAGAGGTTATTCTTACCTGGGAAGGTCTACTGAAGGCTTGTGGGAGGAGGCCAACACTGTGCCGTAGTAATTAGGCTAGGTCCTTAGCATGAGTGGGTTCGGAGGCCTGTCCAGGTGTAGGACTCACTGTGTAAGCAAAGGCACAGAGGTTGAAGAGGTGCAGAGTTTGTGCTGGGAAATGTAAGGTGCACATAACTCTCCTTTTTCTTTTATGTCTGATTTTGATCGTGGAAAAGAAACCTCAAACTGGGTTCTGGGAATTTTGACAAAGAACTTCCTGGGATATACAGAGAACAGTTCTAGGGAAGGACTTGTGTTTGGGATGAAATCTGCAAGAGTCTTTAGTTCCAGAGGCAGGTGAACTGATGGGTCTTATTTTGAATAATCCTCGTCTGTGCTGTCCAAATGGCAGTCCCTGGCCACATGGGGCTACTGGCTCATCTAAGTTGAGATGAACTGTAACTGTAAAATGCACACCAGATTTTGAAGACTTAATTTGAAAAAAGGAATGTGAAATATCTCATTATTAATTTTCTACATGACGATGTGTTTAAATGATTATATTTGAGATTTACTGGTTTAAATAAAACATACTATTAAAATTGACTTCACCCATTTCTTTTACATTTTTTAACATGACTAGAAAAATTTAAAAATACATGTGGCCCATGTTATCTTTCTATTAGGCAGTTCTGATCTAGTTGAGAGAAGAAAGTCAATATTGCCCCTTGAATAAAAGTATAGGGAAAAGATTACAGATATCAAAATTTAAGACCAGTATACTTCCTTAGATATTGTTTTCACTGTTTATTATATTTGAAAATATAAAGGTTAGTAATGTGCTTTGTTGTGCTTAATTTATGCTTAATGCAAGTTTTGCTTTTGATTTTTTAAAAAAAGCACACTGTGTTCTCCATGGCCCATTAACTGGTCCTTTGATGGGCCCTGTCATTGCTCGTGAATGATAGAAGAAGCAGCTTCAAAAAGAGAGCTTTTCAGAGGCTACCTAGCATAGCAAAACCTTTAAATTCACCCCAGAATACCTATAGAGTTACCCCAAATATGATTTCATAAACTTCCAGTTTGCACCTTGGAAAGTTTGGACTGGCCTGATGGAGCCCTGTGCGTTCTCCTGGTGGTCCTGCAGTGGGAGGGGCTGCCTCCAGCAGGCACTACCTCCCTTGGAAGCAGAGCGATGCTGCCCTGGGCATGGCTCACCCATCCTGCTCTGATCAGCCCCTTGTCCCCACCAGCTCTCTCCAGCCTGTGCTAGGGCCCATGCTGAGGTCAGGGAGCCAGAGAATTTCTAGGGGAAAGATTCGAAGGACAGGTAGACCTAAAGCTTGGGGCAACAATCTGAGAGAGGCAGAACTGGATTGGCAGACAACTTCCTTCTTTGTTAGGCTTTGTATTATGGTGTTCACAAGCTTAAGAATGACAGAGGATGTAAGACAAGAAACCGGGGCGAGAGGATCAGGAGCTAGCAAAGCAGTGCAGGAGATGGGCAGGGAACAGGGTGACCTGGAGCAGGAGGGTGGATTTGCAGAGACAAGGTTGAGGGTGGGCAGGAAGGAAGTGCAATAGAAGACATATAATGTTGATTGAGGCGAGGGGATGGGGCTGTATTTCTCATAGGAAAAGAAATGCCTTATATCTTTGCTGCTCTTTGTGGAGAAGGTAGTAGGCTGAGGGATTGATTTAGGGGAACTGTAATTTCCTGAAGGGCTGACTGTTCTAATGTCAACCATCCCAAGTGTCAAGACATTTTTTCTTACTGTCTTTGCAGGATGAATTGGACCTCACTGACAAAAACCGGGAGGCTATGTTTGCACTGCCCCCTGAGAAGAAATGGCAGATCTACTGCAGCAAGAAGAAGGTGCCCTCTCTGACCTCTCCCACGGCATCTGAGGGTCCATGGCATGGGTCCATGGCTCTTGCTGCCAGGCCTGCTCATGCATTCACCTAATGTTTATTACTGCCAGCACTGTTCTAGGTGTTAGAGGAACCGCAGTGAATAAAATAGAAAAAGGAAATTCTGCTCTCTTGGAGCTTACACTCAGAGAAATCAGATTCTCTTTTTCAAAAACCCCTGAAGCAGAACCTGCCGAATTCCAGGACAGGCTGTCTGGGAGAGAGACAAAGCAGCAGAGCCTGGACTCTCTTGTGGAGGGTGGGCAGGCCCGACCATACCTCGAGCAGCTTTGCTACAAGAACTCAGTTTGTGGGGCAGAACTGTCCTCTTTTGATCTTTAGCCTCCACTGTGTCCCAGGTTAGGGCTCACACATCAGTCCTTGTTCTCCTCACCACATCCTCCCTCTTCTTGCTCATTAAAAGATGTTGTGAGCCTCCCGCAATGGCCCTCCCTAGAAAGGGGTGTGCTGGGCTCCAGTTGGGCTTAATTGGACTTGATCGTCTCCCTTCTGCCTTCCCAGTGGCTATGTGTTCTTTTCTCTGCCATCTCCATCTCTGTGTTTCTTCGGCTTGCCTCTCTCTCTCTATCTCTCTTGCCCCCTTTTTATGTTAGGCTTTCTGTTTCTTTTACTCCTGAATTTTCTTTTCATGGCCCACTTTCCTCCCCTCCCCTCCACCCTCCCGTTTCTTACACTTGGGTCCCAGCTTGTTCTTCTACCCTCTTACATTGCTTTGGGGTTTGGGCACCAGAGCCTGGCTATTCCCATGCCTGAGGCTCAAGCTCCCTCCCTCCTGGGAGGAGACAGGAAGGTCTGGGCGGAGTCTGAGCCATGTCTCCTCTGTGCTCTTGTGCCCAGCTCATCTCTTACTCTTTCTGCTCAAGACATTTATCCCAGCCCCACGGCTCCACACTGAGCCAGACCTTATAACATTGGAGGATTCAAATATACACCATTTCAGAGTTGCAGGAACCTGGAAAACTATGCAGTGCCAAAGCAGTCTCCTTCTTTATTCTACAGATGAGGCCAAGAAGGCCCAGAGAGGCAAGACTCGCCCATAGCCCTCCCACTCAGTTATGGCAAGTGGCTGCCCATTGCCAGAACCCGAGACTGCTGGGGAGAATAGTGCTGGGGGCTGAGGACCTGTGACAAAAGGCGTGGGCTGCACACATTATAAGCCATTGTCTAGTATACCCGATGCACGCTTATTAAGCACCTGCAGAATATAACACTCTGCGTTTATGCATCTCATTGTGAGAAAAGCAGGTCTTTAAAAAGCTCAAATCATGGAAAGAAGGAAGGAAAGAAATTTCAGGAGTAATTAATCATATCTCATGATTCTCCATTTTCCAAATTGATTTACTATGGAGTTCCCTTAAGTTGGTCTCTTCTACAGCTAAAGAAAAAAAAGATTTATTAAAATACAAGGGCGTCTCTCACTGCCTTCCAAGCCAAATTGGTAATGTCTCCACACACGCTTCTTCTGCCTTCCCGTGTGGCATTTCCTCTATAGCCTCTACGCCCCATCCCTTACAGCCTTCTGTGTTGGGTGCATCACATCCAGCACAGATAGATGCCAGAGAAAGGTTGGTAAATGCTCTATGGTAGAGCGGCCCCAAGGTTTTTACCATTCTTTCTCTGGCGCTGGACTGTTACATGGAAGGCAGAAACCATGACTCTTTACTCAGTACTTTCAGAGCTCAGTATAGCGATTGGCATCTAGTAGGTGCCCATTCAGTGCATGTGGCACGGATAAAAGACGAGGCAGCAAGTGCAGGAAAGGATGTGTTGCTGACGCTGTTGTTTTTGGTGCTGATTCCCCTCCCCAAGGCAGAAGACAGAATGTTTGGCCTTCAGTCATGGAGAATTTAACACATGTAACCATGTGAAGTCATAAAGACCCTTTTCTACTGGTCCAAAATTTGTATTTTGTGAAACAGAATAGAAAAGATCGAGTGGACGGAGCTGAGAGCCGCAAGGCCAGCTGAGGACTGGCAGAGAGGTGGTTTGTCAGGGAGGGTTGGGAGGAGGTTGAGTTTTCATGCCGATTTAGAAGCAGGAGAGTGGAGAAAGCAGATGGGGAGGGGCCTCCAAAGTGACCTGGGGCCCGGTAACAGGAACGAGCAGGACGAGTGTGAGGCCCAGAAGCAGATCCATTTGGCTGGAGAAGGCTGGATTTAATATTTCTTTAACTCCCATCATTCTTGCCCACACTTGGGGAAGAGTTGAGCCTCTCTCTTGAGGGCTGAGCACTGGGCCAGAGGTCCTCGCATCTGAGCTCTGCCTGTCAGCTGCACATCCCCCTCATTCAGGAGTTTGCCAGGAATTAAATCACAGGCCTAAAGGGGTCTCCTGAGTCTTTCCAAAACCCAAGGCCTTGGACATTTCTCTAATTTTTCTAAAGTTATTATTTAGTGAATGCCTACTATGTGCCAAGTGTTTTCTATTAGAGCTCTAGAACTACCTGAAAGACAAGTTTTTAAATTTCCAAACTGTCACAGATCAATGCTTTTGTAAAATATGAGAATGAGATTATCAAAAAACAAAAAGAGGTATAAAAATAAACACAAATTTGAATTAGATTCAACAGCCAGAAAATTATATTTTATTAAATATGAGCTGAGCAAATAGAACAAGAGAAAAGAATGTTTAAAAAATGGTGCATGTTGCTCACTGAAAGCACACACACCTGCCTAGTTTCTGCCCACGTCATTGGCCAGTCGTGAGAGTCCGTGTTCATCATCCGTATTTCATCAACGGAGAAACGGAAGCCTGGGAGGGTTTGTAATTTCCTCCAAGCTATCCCACGTGGGAAATGAATCCCTCTGCTGACATTGAATGAAGCTCAGGCTCTCAGGCCACTGGCCTGTCTTGCCTGTTGGTCCATGCTGTCCTTTTTCTTGTTTCAGGAGCAGGAGGACCCCAACAAGCTGGCGACCAGCTGGCCTGACTATTACATCGACCGCATCAACTCCATGGCTGCAGTGAGTGGCTGCCCCTTTCCTGCCCTGCCCCCACCTGGAAAGGCTATGGCAGAGAGTGATCCCCCCAGCACTTCCCACAACACACACCAAACTGCCTTTCCCTGTTCCTCAGCACCGCACTGCCCACTCACTGGAGTTCAGCAGCTTTCCAGTTATTCATGAAATTTTGTTGTAATCCACCCCCACTCTGTGCAATCTCAGAGTCCCCTCAACCATTTAAACATTGTAAAATCCATTTGGGTGTCACACAAACTTTGGAAATAAACTGGGCCAGCAATTCTCGCCATTTCACAGATGAAGAAAGTGAAGTTCCAGCCCAGAACCTAGGTCTTCTCAGGGGCCGACACCCTGTCTCAGTAAACCATGACCTGAGGCCCTACCCTTTCTGAGGGAGTATGGCCTCTGTGTCACACCCGGGCTGGATCGCAGGGGGGTGGGAGACAGGCAGCCCAGCATGACCTCTGCCCGCTTCTACTTGCTGGCCCTCAGATGCAGAGCCTGTACGCATTTGATGAGGAGGAGACTGAGATGAGGAACCAAGTTGTAGAAGACCTGAAGACGGCTCTCCGGACGCAGCCTATGAGGTGACTCAGTTTCCCCCTCTTGCTTTCTGCCAAGTCCCTTCACAGTTGGTTTCCTTGCCTTCCCAAAGCCTTGTGCAGTGCTCTGCTCCCATGCTGGTCCTCCTGGCCAACTCTGCTTCACCTCACTTGACTCCCCAGCCCCTGCTCCTCTCCCGGGAGGCTGCAAGGGCTTGGGAGAAGGGGACAGAAACCTGGGAAAGTGGGATAAACCTCAGGACCTGAGGAGCTCTCTAAAGAGGAATCAAGGGCAAGTGCTTTTTAAAATTTATTGATTTATTTTTGGTGAGGGGATAGAATAGGAGGGTGATCAAATGGACAAGATACATAAGAAAGGGTCTGAGGATAAGGGGCAGGGTGACTGTCCCATCCAGGAAAGGAAGGATGCATGGGTAGAGAAGTACTCCAACCACTAGGGGGTGGTGGTGTCTCTGGATGGGATTTGCCATCTAGAATGGGAGCAAGGCAGGCATGGAAAAGCAGGTGGAAGTCCTGGAGCCGTAGGAGGACTCCTTTCTATTCCCAGGTCACAACGTGTGGGTCCCAAAGTGAGTCTCCTTGCATCTGGGTCTGCCCTATGGTGTGCTGGAACTGGCTTGTAACAGCTGGCAAGAGCTGACTGTCAAATTTTCAACAATTTTGTAAGCTGGTTGTTAAACATAGCTATGATTAAAATTTCAGTTATATAAATTTAAGATGCAATAAGTTATATCAAAACAAAGGTAATACTTGAAACTCTTCAATCCCAAACTACCTAATTATTTTTCTACATTTTACTATAATGTACACTTTTGAGTTTATATGCATTGTATGTGCATGGTGGAAACACTGTGAAATATACATCTCTTCCCAACTCCGTGTTCAATGACGTCACATCTGTAGCTTGAAATTGGCTATGCTAGGAGTATTCACACCATGGAAATGAGCAATCAAGAGCTCCCTGCCCCACAAAGAGCTAGCCATCCATTGGGTGGGGGTATATATGTTGTCTGAGCTGAGCTCTCTCCCCAGGAGACTGGAAACAGCCTCAAGAAGAATGGGAGCATCCTAATTGTCTCTTGACATTCTGGTAGGGGTGAGGTTCTGCAATGGGGACGGGATAGAGGAAAGGATGAGGTGGTCAGGAAATAAATGAGTTGAGGGGAAGCTTCCAGGTTTGTTTCCTGCCCCAATATTCTGATAACAAAAGTTACACATTGTCGTTGTGGAAATTTTATGGAATGCAGAAAAGCATACAACAGAAAAAAGTTAAAAATACCTATGTTAACTTAGTTTGAGAGCACATTCTTTTATTTTCTAGGTGTATTTGTACAATAACACAAACACAAATACACTTGGGATAAGAAGTAATGTTATTTATAGTAATTTTCTTAGATCATTATTTTACTAAATCAAGGGTGCATGTGTGTTCGCGTGCCGTGGACATCTGGCACCCAGGTGAAACCTGTGGAGTGCTTCTCAGAAATAATATTTTGAATAACAGAAAGACAGGATGAAAAAAATCAATTAAAATACAGTCACAAATAATAAAAGTGAGATAGCAGTCAATTGTGCTTCTTTACATCTTAAAAAGCAAGAGCTAGCTGCGAGTCTGATAACCATCATAATTTTCAAGTACAGATGAGTGTAAATGGTATTTTGAGATACCTGCAACAGCTGTAATTTGGTATGAAAATAGCTGTGATTTCTTTGGGTGACAAAGTCACAGATTGTGCTAATACTACTGTCATTTATTGCCTACATTCATCATTGAGAAAAATGCTAAATTTTAATTAGGAGTTACCAAAAATAAAAATGTAATTTTCTTTTCCCATCCAAGTCCTTGGATCTGTGAATGCTATCCACAGATTCTTCAGCAGAACACAGACTCCAAATTAAGAATCCCTGAACTAAATGGGTTTTTATATATATATATATATATATATATATATATATATATATATATATATATATATATTTTTTTTTTTTTTTTTTTTTGCTAGTATTCAAGATAGATAACTCTGCTATTTTCTTTAGGATCCCTTGAAATGTAGCTTCCCTAGGCTTGACCCCTTGACTTGAGGGCTCTTCCTTCCTGTCTGGGAGCCCTCTCTCCATCCTCACTGGAGAGTAGTGTTCAGGTTTAACAGTTCTGATAATTATCATGATCATCCCCTTCACATTCATACCATTTTAGCTATGCAACTGACAATGATATGCAAATGCACAGTATTTAAAATGCAAATAAGATGCAAGTCTTTTGTGAAGATGATAGGATTTCCATGCTTTAGATAAACTACAAATCAACCAAGTGGCTACTGTAGGTAGAACAGGTGCATGGTGGTACACAGGTAAGGGGATAACTATTTGCAAAGTGTGCGCAGAATCCTATGCAAATACAATCTATTTTATTTGTTAATGGCTCTGATTTGTAGGTTTGTGACCCGCTTCATTGAGCTGGAGGGCTTGACCTGTCTGCTAAATTTCCTCCGGAGCATGGACCACGCCACCTGTGAGAGCCGAATCCACACCTCCCTCATCGGCTGCATCAAAGCACTGATGAACAACTCCCAGGGGCGGGCGCATGTGTTGGCGCAGCCGGAGGCCATCAGTACCATAGCCCAGAGTCTTCGCACAGAGAACAGCAAGACCAAGGTGGCTGTGCTGGAGATCCTGGGTGCTGTGTGCCTTGTGCCTGGCGGCCACAAGAAGGTGCTACAGGCCATGCTGCATTACCAGGTGTATGCAGCGGAGCGAACCCGCTTCCAGGTGAGGGGCCTGGCTGGAAGCGTGATTCCAATTGGGTGGGGCAGGGGTGTCACATGTGAGTGAGAACCTGAAGATTCTTTTAGTGGAAACTAGGGGAAAAGGAAGGTAATGTGGGCTGCATGCCTGCTCCTGGAAGGTAACAGGCTAAGAGTACTGGGACCTGGAAGGCTTGCATCAAAACACATCCAGAGCCTTAAGAGTTATGAGTTTGGCTGGGAAATGGACTTGTCCTCCTTATTGGTCAGTGGGTTCCTGGATGCTGGAATATTGGCCTGCATTATTTTTGTGGCTCTACATCTCTGACCTCAACACCTGGCTCAAGATAGGGGCTCAGTCAAGAATGGTTGAATTGAGTGCAATTGCTGAGATCGAGATTTTAGGTGCTACGCTTGGGCCAGTCCTTAATGTGGGACACTGGGACCATCCCCGGGAGCTTCAGCCATGCTATTCTCTTTTCTTTCCCTGATCTGCCCAGAAAAGTATAAATGAGACGAGCAGTAAATATGAAGTGTCTTAGCACAGTGCCTGGCACAGAGTAAGTCCATATGGACATGAACTGATGTTACAAAGTATATGGTTTATTGCCAAAAACTGGGTCCTGACTCTTTGCAGAAGATGGAAAACGGATACAAGAGGTGTCCATGCCATAAGGGAGCTAGGCAGGGAATACATAGGAGCTGTAAACAGCTGGAGCACGATTATAAAGCAGCACTGGAGCACTGTTCAACCACGTAGGCCAAGCAAAGGCTGAGTGGAGAGGAAGCGAAGCAGCACTGACAGGTGTGGAGAGGCAAGGGACTTTTCCAGGCAGAGGTGAGGTTTGGGGCAGCCCAGAATACATTGGACAGACATGATTGGGTGGAGAGAGCAGATGGGGCATTCTAGGTAGCAGAGGCAGCAGGAGTTATGGTGCAAAGGCTGCATTTGTAGGGGACTCAGCCTTCTCCTCCTGCTCTGTCCTTCATTTCCACCCAGACCCTGCTGAATGAGCTAGACCGAAGTTTGGGCCGGTACCGGGATGAAGTGAATCTGAAAACAGCCATCATGTCCTTCATCAATGCTGTCCTCAATGCTGGAGCTGGAGAGGTAAGTTGCCTTCTCCTTGTCCTTGCTGTTCCCTGATTTTCTGGACCTGGGGTAGAGTGTGTGAGTGTGTTGCTTCCCCAATAATTGTTTTTGACGTTAATCTGGGAGGGCTCCTGGGGAGTTGCTTCATAGGTAGCATTATGCATTGTGGACAGACCCAGAGCTTGATGATGGCTCAGGGTGGTGGGGAAACATGGATGGGACGAGGGCGAGTTTGGGCTCTTGTTTGTAGATTTCTGTTTCTGGGTTGTTTTCTGGTTGGCTGGTTATGCCCTTCTAGTGCCTTCTGTTAGGTGTGCCTTCTGTTTTCCCTTCCTTTAGGGTCAGAATGGGATTCTCGAAGTATAAACCTAGTAACAGGTGGGGCTTGGTGGCTCATGCCTGTAATCCCAGCACTTTGAGAGTCTGAGGCGGGTGGATCGCCTGAGGTTGGGAGTTTGAGATCAGCCTGGTCAACAGCGTAAAACCCCGTCTCTACTAAAAAAGTACAAAAATTAGCCGAGCATGATGGCAGGCATCTGTAATCCCAGCTACTTGAGAGGCTGAGGCAGGAGAATCACTTGAACCTGGGAGATGGAGGTTGCAGTGAGCTGAGATCATGCCATTGCATTCTAGCCTGGGTGACAAGAGGGAAAGTCTGCCTCAAAAGAGGGGAAAAAAAAGCAACACTAGAAGAACTTGCAGATCAGGTGAACATTCCAAATTCTAAGGCAATCAGATACCCTGGTCAAGGTTAACCTGAAGGACAGAAGGGGCAAAGGGAGCAATTTAATGATCTTTACTTTCCCCTCTTTTCTGCCAGCATACTTTTTTTTTTTTTTTAAACAATTAGTCCTTGTGTCCTGGATTAGGGAAGGCCGGTTGGGGGAACAGTCTCCCCCTCAGATGCTAATATCACCTTTGTTGGTACCAGCTCCTCATGGCTGGCGTATGCTCTGATTAGCTGGTAACCACATATCATCAGGTGACTATGACAGGTGTCATCCCTGTAGAATATAGTCATGTTATGCCCATTTCACAAATGGGGAAACTAAAGCTTTCCCAAGGTCACAAAACTAGATCCAAGATCTGTCTGATTCCAAAGCTCATGCTCCATGTGACTCTACGACACTGCTCTTCGATGCTGAAGGCGAAAACTGGCAAGGGGCTTGAAGGAAGTGGGGCAGAAGGCCTAAAATAAGCTGGGCAGTGGGCTTGCTTTAGACTAAGAAATAATAAGGCCTCCGTTCTTTCTTGGAACTCTGGGACTTGAAGCAGCTCCAGGTGAGTTTGCTGTGGGAGATGTGGTGGGTCTGTGGCTGGGGTGGTGATAAGGGCTCCACTGGGGATGTTGTGGAAATTGAGATCTGCCAATGAGTCTGGCCCTCCCTTGGTGACCCCCAGGATAATCTGGAGTTCCGCCTACATCTACGGTATGAATTCCTGATGCTGGGGATACAGCCTGTGATTGACAAGCTCCGGCAACATGAAAATGCCATCCTGGACAAGTAAGTTCCAAGCACCCATCTGGGAGGGACAGTGCCTCAGTTGGGGATAGTTGGGACCTCTGTGAAGGCTGCCCTTCCCTCTGGACACCAGCTGTCATACCCAGCAGAGATTCAGAATCAGCTCTGTGGGGGGCAGGTGTGCCCTTGCCTGTCCTCTTTGCTGACCTGCTTGTCTCATCTCTGATGTTATAGACAGGTGAACCCAGTAGTCCTCCGCCATCACAGGACTGCCCCCTGGGGACCATGTGGAAATATCTGAGGGTGTTGTTTTGGTTTTCAAACTGGTTGGTGGCAGGCAATACTGGTATTGGCTGTTGGCGGCCAGGAATGCTAACTGTCCAGCAGTACCTTCCTGCTCAACAAAGAAATGTTCCACTCAAAATGCTTGCTATAAAGCCCTGGTTGATCCAAGGGCACAGTTATGTTCCCATGTGATACCAGTGAGGCCCCTCCAGTTCTGTTCCATTAGTTTAGGCTATTTTATTACACTAGGTTTAAAGGGAGAGAGGATGGATCCTTTTGGGTTGGAATGAGTGGATCCTTTTGAGGTGGAATGAGTGGATGTGTGCATGGGGATAGAAAATGAGGAGAGATTAGTTTTGAGGGCTGACTTGGAGACCCTGTGAAAATACTGGGGAAAATAGATGCAGGGCTGTTGTTCTCGACTGAGAGTGATTTTAACCCCCACCCCCGAGACGTTGGGCATTGCCTGGAGACATTACATTCTTGGTTGTCACACTAGGGGGTGCTGCTGGCATCTAGTGGGTAGATGCTGAGATGCTGCTAACCATCCTCACATATCAGCCTCCAACAACCGAGGATAATCAAGCCCAAAATGTCAATAGTGCCAATATAGAAGCCCAATCTAAGCTGAAGGGACCCTGGATTGGCCTCCCTGAAGGAAGGTCATGGGATCTTATAAAGGGCAGACAATGCATGTCCTACAAACAGCCGCTTCTTTCCCATTTTGCCTTCATCTTGTTTGAATGAAGCTTTCAGATTTAGCCAGTGGGGGGCTCGAAGGGGCTGTAACCCTCAACCAAGGGTGTGTCCTGGCTGTAACGTCTATTCTCTCTGTCTCCCCATTCTGTCTAGACATTTAGACTTCTTCGAGATGGTCCGAAATGAGGATGACCTGGAGCTAGCCAGGAGGTTTGACATGGTGAGGAGCTGGCAGGGTGGAGCAATTGCTATAGGGTAGCAGGGTTCCCTGCTTGTGGATTTCCCAGGATCACAAAGCTCGATCCAAGATCTGATTCCAAAGCTTGTGCTCCATGTCACTCTACGACATTGCTCTTCGATGCTGAAGGCAAAAACTGGCAAGGGGCTTGAAGGAAGTGGGGCAGGAGGCCTAAAAGAAGCTGGGCAGTGGGCTCGCTTTAGTCTAAGAAATAATAAGTTCTCTGTACTTTTTTGGAACTCTGAGACTTGAAGCAGCTCCAGGTGAGTTTGCTGTGGGAAATGTGATTGAGGGGCTGTAAAAAAAAAAAAAAAAGGCCCCACAGCCACTTTTCTAGACCCTGTGCTGTGGCAGAGCTGGTGTGGGCTGGTTCCCTGGTGGGTACCCTCATGGCCAGGTCCTGTGATTAGTCACAGTTCTCTGTAGAAACACAACCAATAGGATACACATATAGAGATAGAGAGATGAGAGGGCATTTATTAGGGGGATTGGCTTACACAATTAGGAAGGCTGAGAAGTCCCACGATAGGCCAGAGTTATTGCATGGAGAAACAGGGAGGCCAGTAGCATAGCTCAGTCCAAGGTCAAGGGCCTGAGAACCTCAGGGGCCACTGGAGCACATTCTGGAGTCCAAAGGCTGGAGAGCCTGCAGCTCTGATGTCCAAGGGCAGGAAGAGAAGGGTGTCCTGGCTCCCGAAGAGGGGGAGAAAATTCACCTTTCCTCGGCCTTGTTGTTCTCTCCAGGCCCTAGGCTGATTGGATGGTGAGGAGGCCACAGGGTAGAGGGATGGCAGTATGGTAGTGGGTTCCAGGTGGCCCCACAGCCGTTTCTCCAGGCCCCACACTGTGGTGGAGCTGGGGTGGGATCTTCCTTACTCAGTCCCCTGATTCAAATGCCAGTCTTTTTGGGAAACACCCTCAGACACACCCAGAAACAATGCTTTACCAGCTACCTGGGTATCCCTTAATTCAGTAAAGTTGATACCTCAAATGCACCATCACATTCCACTTTCAGAGCCTTGGTAGTATGCTGGCTGTGGAAGTCTTCCCTAGGAAGGCATCTGCCTTGGAGGAGACTGAAACCCTCAAGGAAAGGGAGCAAGTTATTGCATGTGATTAGTCTCAAATGCCTTTCCTGGGCTAACTTTCCCCTGCCTTCCAGCAACTTCCTGAGTCCCTTCTCCCCATTGCTAACCAGATCATGCTTAGCAAACTAAATTGTATTTTCATTTTAGCCTCAGCAACCCTGAAAGCACACAGCTCTGCTTTATTGTATTATAAAATCCCTATCCAAATAGAAAGCTACTTTTGGGTGGTGCTTCACAGTCACTGAGTGCATCCCATTATATTTTCACAAAAGCCCTGGATTTATAGATACAGGAACAGAGGTTAGAAGGGATAAGCAGTTTGCCTGTCATCACACAACTAAAGCGTAGATCTGGGGTTTGGAACTGTGCCATGTGCCACCTGCTACTTTGAATCTTCTGTGCCCCTGCCCCTTCCCTGAGTTTGGATCAGTAGTTCTCAAGCAGGGGCGATTTGGCTCTCCTTTCCCCCTGGGGACATTTGCAATGTCTGGAGACATTTTTACTTGTGTGAGAAGGTGCCACTGGCATCTACTAGGGAGAGGCTGGGGTGCTGATACACAACCTACAAGGCACAGGGCAGCCCTACAACAAATAATTATCTGACCCAAGATGCCAATAGTGTCGGGACTGAAACTCCAGTTTATATAATGGATTATCTCCTTCTTCCTTTTCTTTGTCTTTCTCTTTTTAAGCCTGGACCAGAGGCAGGGGAAGAAAACCTCTCCTGTGAGACAGGGCGTAGTGGATAGAAGTAGGGTCTTCTCTCCCCTGCTGCCTTCCTCTGCTGCCTACCTCCCCCAATTCACTGCGGCCTCTTCTCTCCCAGGTCCACATCGACACCAAGAGTGCTTCCCAGATGTTTGAGCTGATCCACAAGAAGCTGAAGTACACGGAGGCCTACCCCTGCCTGCTCTCTGTGCTGCATCACTGCCTGCAGATGCCCTGTGAGTACCGTGCGCTTGCTGCTTCCCTCGGCTAGCCTAAGCCTTGAATTGGGGCAGGTCGAGACAGGACTTTGGGAACTCCCTGGACTGGGGAGTCTGACCATGTCTTCCTGCACGCTTGCTTTTGGAAGGCCAGGCCCCATGACTGAGGCCCCTGCATTTCCTTCCCTCCTTGGGGTCAGGTCTTCCACTGTCATCTGGGGAAGGAGCTGCGGACTTGGCCCTGAGCAACTCCAACATCCTAGTCCAAAGACAGTAGATGGATCATTGCAAAATTAAATAGTTCTGGCTTTCTGCTCATGATGTGGGAGTGATCAGTCATGTTGGGGAGTTCCAGAAAGTTTTGTGCTTGGGGGAGTAGCACAGATGTGGAATGAACATGGTTGTTTTTTTTCTTAAGGTTTTATCAACTCCTTCATCTAGTGCTTGTTGGCTTCCACCCTTACACTCTTGCCCCTGCTTCTGGCTACACATACCAAATGTCAGCATCTACAAGAGCAGATGGCTAAGTTCTTAAGATCCAGGTGTGCACAGTGATTGGATAAATTGTACATAATTGCTAATAGCCACTCCAGAATGCACTTCTAAATGGGCTTTAACTGTACCACTTGGAACTTAGGCTCTTCACAAGAGACCGTTTTGAAAAACCATGTGGCCCTCCATAGTGGTTGATGTTGGTGGCAGTGTCAGCAATCACAGTTACAGTGATGATAACTGTGACTGATAGTGTGTCAACTCCGGGCAGGCACAATGTGAGGTCCTTTCTCTGCACACTAGAATAACCTAAGGAATAAACATTATTATGTCCAGTTGAATAGTGAATGAACCTGAGGCTCAGCGAGATCTTTACCTACAGAAAGAATTTTGGTTTTGGGGGCAGTGATCGAGGGTTGAGATAAAACACGTTCTGCCTCTGTGAACTAATGACCTGGCTTTACATGATTTTGCTGGGTGAAAGGTAGATGGAAAATGATACCACGTTGCAATGCATGTATCAGTAGACTGGTGGAAAGGATAGATGCAGTGACCTGAATTAAGAAGCTATCACTTCTCCAAAGCTCATCCCAGAACGCGTTCATTGAAGGCACAGAAATCCCTGGGAAACCTAACTTCTTGTGCTCCAAGGGATTTCTGTGTTGGCTGTTCCATGGGCAGTGTGAATGGGTTCCTCTACTCTGCCCTAAAATGGGGCTTTGCAGACTTGATCTTCTACCTTGTAGGCATTGTGGTTTGACTTTGATGTCAGGATTGCACTTGTTGGCTTTTTATGGTAGTCAGTAGAGATAAAGTGCTAGGGATCAAGGACCAAGAAAAGAGTGTGTGCGCTTATCACATAAAAAGGAAGTCCATGTCCAGGAAGATGACTTTCATTAGAGGCGATGAGAGTGAGGCCCTGTGAGATCACACACAACACACTATGCCTTTACCTTCATAGTTCCAGGTCACTTCCACAAGAAATCTTCTTGAATCCCATTAAGCACTTCTCTAGCCCATTTTGACTCTCAGTGCACACCTGTAATCGGTTTCCATTCATCTTTCTGTGTAGAGTAATAGTGTGGATAATCCTAAAATGGTTTTTTTTTTTTTTTTTTTTTTTTTAAAAAAAAGCCTCCCTGGAGACTTCATTATTCAGCATGTAGTATTTTGGAGCAGGTGGTTTTTATAGATAATGTAAAAAGCAATCTCCACTTCTAGGGCATAGTGTGCCCAGGGTCCAAACAAGGAAGAAAGGCAACCAGAAAGCATTTCAGAGAGTAAAGAAATATATTGGGGAGGTGGCTGACACGTTCATAGATGTCTAGTTGCCAATAATCAAGAGATGACTGAATTAGTGAGTTGCTATTATCAGCAATGGCATTGCCTCTTTCTCCAGACTGGGAGCTTACCATGGGTGGAGAAGGGCATGCCCCACCAGCCAGAGCCCAGGCAGTGACTCTGGGGCAGGGGCAGGGGACTCCAGGGCTCAGGAAAGATATGATGCCTGTCATCCCTCAGACAAGCGGAACGGTGGCTACTTCCAGCAGTGGCAGCTCCTGGACCGCATCCTCCAGCAGATTGTCCTCCAGGATGAGCGGGGTGTGGACCCTGACCTGGCTCCCTTGGAGAACTTCAATGTCAAGAACATCGTCAACATGTGAGCAGTGGCTAGCCTTTGCCCTGTCTTCCTTCACCTTCCTCATCTCTCTCCTGCTCTGGGCTCACCAGTGAAATCTCAGCTCCCTTTCGCAAGCCAGACATCCCCAAATGGGTCTTGGGCAGCACTGTCCAATAGAACTATAGTAACCTAATGAAAAAAGTGGCATAGTGCTACTGTTCAGTGTGGCAGCCACATTATTGAGTACTTGACACATGGCTAGTATGACAAAGGAACTGAATCTTAAATGTTTTGTTTAAAATTTGAATAGCCACATGACACATGGCTAGTGATTACTCTCTTGGACAGCCAGCACAGGTGTATTGGGCATGTTCTGGACTTTCAGTGGTCTACTGCATGGGTTGGCTAGATGGCAAATTTGAACACGTTAACATAGAACAAGGGTCAGCAAACTATGGTGCGTGGGCTGACTCCAGTCCTCCAACTTATTTGTGTATGGCCCATGAACTAGTAATAATTTTTACATTTTGTTTATTATTTTATTTTTTGAGATGGAGTCTCACTCTGTCGCATAGGCTGGAGTGCAGTGGTGCAATCTCAGCTCACTGCAACCTCTGTTGCCCAGGTTCAAACAATTCTCCTGCCTCAGCCTCCTGTGTAGCTGGGATTACAGGTGCCTACCACTGCACCTGGCTAATTTTTGTCATTTTAGTAGAGATGGGGTTTCACCATCTTGGCCAGGCTTGTCTTGAACTCCTGACCTTGTGATCCACCCCACCTTGGCCTCCCAAAGTGCTGGGATTACAGGCATGAGCCACTGTGCCTGGCCAATTTTTACATTTAAACAACAAACACAAGTATATGTGACAGAGATTGTGCATGGCATGTAAAACCGAAAATATTTACTCTGGACTTTTATAGGAAGCTTGCTGACTACTGACATAGAGCATGGCTATTTGATCACGAGGTTGCTGGATGAGGTTGTCAGAGCCTAAGGCCTTCTGGTTTACCATATTTTATTGACCTGGGATAGAGAAACAAGAAGAAACAAATTTAAATTTACATCAATTAATAATAAGGGCTTACATTAACATTCTAATTTTTAATTTTAAGCTTTTACTTAACTTTCAGTATGAGTTTGAGCCATTTGTCCTTAAGGAGATAAATTGGCTCTCAATGATTCATTATGTTGCATTCCAAAGCCAAGTAGAAAATTATTTTCCAGCTATTCTTGCTACTGTTTTCATTTGCACAGTCAGATATTGATGTAGTTGAAATCCTCAGTGGTACTCTGGACAAGTGCAACTGGGAAAGTGATCAAAAGGTAACGTTAGTGTTATTTTCTACTAATTTGTTATACCATTTCGTAGGCAATCTTCTCCACTGCCGGAGGATAAAAACTCCTCAGGTCCAATGAAGTTCTTACGCCTTCCTGGGTAACAGAAGTCCTAAGATCACTTTAGAGTGCAACATAGACTGAAATATGACATTCTAGACATGATTTAGCCTTAAATCTTTCTCCTCCACCAGCTGGGGCCAGGCAACTGGAATGGGAAGGGCACATGTGTGTGTGTGTGCGTGCGCGCGTGCGCATGAGCATGGGTGTATGTATGTGTGTGTGCATGTGTATATATGTGTATGTGCAAATGTGTGCACATATGTGTGTGTGTGATATCTGCCACTTTTGCTCTGTTCTGTTTACCCTGTAGCCTCTTCTATCTCCCACGTCACGTCGCCTTTCCACTAACCAGTCTGACCCTCTGAAGAGGCAGCCTGGTGACAGGAAAGAAAAAGGGAAAAGGTCTTACTTGATAAGATAATTTAATAAACAGGCTCCCTGCTCTCTGGCTTTGGCATATGGGTAAAGACGTCAGTGTGTTTCTGGAATCTTGAGAAGTTCCTCGCTGGATGCCTTTCACTACAAAACCCAGCTCACTGGCCATGCAGGACTTTTGTTCCAGCTGGCTGGCTGCTTCCAGCCCTTCCATCACTCCCTGGTTCCAGGGCAATCCAGTGCCTGTAGACTTACGGTATAGATGTTCCCATCTGTTGCTCAGGTGGACCCCTTGCACAGGACTTGTAATAGCTGCACCCCAGTTCCTCACGAGACATACATGTGACCCATGGGCAAATCTCATGTAATCTCCTGTGCCAACAAACTCTAGGAGTGCCTGCAGGGCCCCTCACAGCAGTGTTCTCCTGCTTTTGCTCCCAGGACTTTGCTTGGCTCCAAGTAGGGCCCCAGTCTACTCTGCCTCCCTCCCAACTTCGGAGAACATGGGTCAAACTCTTGGAGATGGCCCCAAAAAACCAGTTCCCTGGTGAAGGAGATAGCATCTTGGGGATAATAGCAGTGGCCCTCTTCAAATAAATGTCTTCACCAAATACTCTCCCTCTCCATACTCTGTTCTCTGTGTCCTTGATGTGGTTGAAGAGGCCAAAAGTTGTGGGTCTAACTCTTCCACATTTTCAGATTTATAAAGGAATTGATTCTTGGGAACTCACTTTGGAATTTCACCTCTGTTATGCCTTGGTATCAAGGTAAAAGCTAAATTTTAACACTGTTTTCAAGAGCTTGGCATGTTTCACCTGAACATACTCAGTCTGTATCGCTGGTGTGGGTGATGTCTGTTGCTCTTACACGTTGGTCTTTGGAAGCCGGGACCATGGAAGGGCCAATATTTTGATCTCTTTTAGATGTAAGATCTATTTTCACAAGGAGGTGCAAGTCGTGATACAACTCTAGGGAGCCTGAGGTTCAGTCCAAGTTCTACCATTAATTAGCTCTTGCCCTATCTCCGTTCTCTGAGCCTCAGTAGCTCCAGCTGTATGACAAAGGGGCTGGCTTATAAGGTATCTATAAGTCATTTCATCTCTCACGGTCTGCACAGACACATAATGTGGATGTGGCAGGGGACGTGGAGAGACATCTGGGAAGTCTAAATCCTAGCCCCCTTGATGTGGCTGAACAGACTAGAGACCAGGGTCCCTGCCTGGAGGGTAGAGAGACGATGTCTTCTGGGAAGCTGTGAGTCAGTGGTCAACAATCACATCGCCTCCTCCCTCTTCCCTCTATGCCCTGCCAGGCTCATCAATGAGAACGAAGTGAAACAGTGGCGAGACCAGGCAGAGAAATTCCGGAAAGGTGAGGGGCTCAGCCTAAGCCTGCTGTCCACTCCACATGCCTCTCCCCTGTCCAGCCCCTAATTCCATGTCCTTCTAAGGAGAGGACCGCATTACTCACACGCTCTCCTTCTGTTTCCTCTCACGTCCCCCGCCCCGCCCATTTCCAGAACATATGGAGCTTGTGAGCCGTCTGGAGAGGAAGGAGCGGGAATGCGAGACCAAGACATTGGAGAAGGAAGAGATGATGCGGACGCTGAACAAAATGAAGGACAAGCTGGCCCGGGAGTCCCAGGAGCTGCGCCAGGCTCGGGGACAAGTGGCAGAGCTGGTAGCCCAGCTCAGCGAACTCTCAGTATGCAAGCATCTCCCCCTTCACATAGTTGAGCCAGGACCCTGGGCTTCAGGACAGGGTGGGCAGAGCAGGTGTGGGGAGAGGCCAGGATAGAAGAGACCCCTGAGGCTGTATAGATGGCACCTGTTAGTGAGAAAATTAATGTCCCTTCCTCTGGGTGACACAGTCCCAGGAAGCACATCTTGGACAGCAGAGTGCAATTGGAATTGGATCCCCCTCCCTCCCTCAGCTGGAGGCCTTGTGCAGTCAGTAACCTACACAACTGCATAGATCAATCCTGCTGTTGCATTGCAATGGCTGTGACTGATTGTCCAATGCCTGTGTGTGACTTGTGTGTGTCTGTCTGTGGTGGTGGTGGTGGTGTTGGGGTGTGTGTGTGTGTGTGTGTGTGTGAGAGAGAGAGAGATGTTTGGATGCAGAGAGAGAAAATGGGGCCAAATGTGTGTAGAAGGTGAGGGTAGAATTTAGGGTTTAGTATAGAAGGATACTAGGAGTAAGGAAAGGAATCATGGTGGGGGACCTGAATGACATCAGTGCTGATGGCTTTGTCCTTGCAATTTTTCTGTTTCCTCAGACAGGCCCTGTATCTTCCCCACCACCCCCTGGGGGCCCACTCACCTTGTCTTCCTCAGTGACAACCAATGACCTGCCTCCACCCCCTCCTCCTCTGCCCTTTGCCTGTTGTCCCCCTCCCCCCCCACCACCCCTTCCCCCTGGAGGACCCCCAATTCCCCCAGGTGCCCCACCTTGCCTCGGCATGGGCCTGCCCCTCCCTCAGGACCCCTACCCCAGCAGTGATGTCCCACTCAGGAAAAAACGTGTCCCCCAGCCTTCCCACCCGCTGAAGTCCTTCAACTGGGTGAAGCTGAATGAGGTGAGCATCCGGGAAGGGGTCGGCAGGCCCATTCTTCCACAGCAGGGTGGTCGGCCTCAGGCACCGCCTGCCCCTTGTTTGCAGATCTCTACTCCAGGTCCTTTCTTTGGTGGGGGGGCAAGGGCAGTCATGTGGATGCACATGGTGGGTTTGATGTGCCAGGCAGCTCCCTGTCCACGGGGAGAACACCTGCCCTGGGAGAGACGCTTGGCATGGGGCAGTGCTCACGCTGACAGCGTCGTCTACAAATGGAATTTGTGTTTGCCCAGGGTTGATGGAGTCACAGGCGAGGCAAACACTGAGTAGAAGTCAAGGAGGGGGTCTCATTGAAGCAAAGAATGGAAACATAAACAAAGAGCTTGGGCCAGCATCTAGGTTTTGGTAAAGATCAGGGCAGTGTATGCAAAGGACTACCCAGTTGGATGGCAAGACACAGCCATATTGGCATCTTCCTGGGGGAAGCTGCATATGCTGGCCTCATGTCTGGACCAGCAGTGAGAGGCCCTCATGAGTATATCCACTAATAATCACCAATCCCAGAACCACAGGTGGGGGTTAATTTCTCTGTTGGACTCTCATGAGCATAGTTAGAGACACCCTTGGTTGCATTAGACCTCTGGCAATTGAAGCCTGGTTCCAGCCTGGACCAAGGTTCTGGCAAGTCTTATTAGGAGGACCAGGAGCTTCCTCCTTGAGGTAAACACCTGCATGGTCACTGGTTTCAGTTAGGCTGGCTCACTGGGGTTTGGAGCTTGGATGGATTCCACACTGACCTTTATCCTCTGGGTGGTTGGACTAGCTCTTGGGGAACTCACAACTGTACCATTGTGTTTGAGTTTCAGTGAGCTCAAATGCAGAGTTAAGAGATGCAAGATTGCTAAGTAGGTGGTCAGCTATCTGCTGGGGGCCTTCTCCTGATTGTAGACCAGCTAGCTTGTCAATCTGAGGTCTGTTTTTGTAAAGCTTTGTTTTGGGGGCTATGATAGATAGTAATAAAATGACATTGTCCTCTCAGAGCTTAGGATCTGCCAAATTAGAAAGCGTGTTTAAAGAAACACCTGGAGAGCCTGGGGATGAGTTAAGGGTGAGGCTCTAACCAAACCAGGTGTGGCTTTAGCGGTACGACCGGTCAGTCATTCGACTTGTCTGTAACTCAGTTGGCTCATGTGTGAATTGATCTCAAAGATCCCGTCTGCTTCTGGCTTTATAATCTGGGTGGAAAGATGAAGCATGGACAGAGCCCATGTGTAGTTTCCTGGGCCTCTGATTACATCTCCACCACCTGTTAGCAGCATTCAAAGCAAAGTTGTTGAGGCTGATGACAGCTACACCAAGCAGTTGTTCTGTCCTGTGGGTGTTCCGTGGCCATGAGGTCAGAAGGACAAACCGCATACGAGCAGGCCAGCCACTCTGCAGAACCAAAGGCCGCAGGCTGTGCAGAAAGGTTCAGTGTTCACGATCAGAGAATAACATTTTTTATTGTGGTAAAAAAAGACATAACATTTTGTCTCCTATTGTCATAATTTATAATGTAAGGTTTTAAAGTTGTAGTAAAAAGTTATGCACCTCTATGATGAAGGAAGACAGCCAAGGCAAGTAATATTTTTGCAACACTTTCATCGTATGAAGCTGTGTGCTCAGGAGTTTCTCTGGGTCCGGTAATAGTAAAGTTTCTACAGATGCCCCAGGGTCTCAGAGCAGGCCAGAGTTTCATTTCTAGACTGGAGAGTGTGAGTTTGTTGGAATAGACAGTGGGGGACGTTTCGAGAAGCAGGGCAAGGTGAAAGGCTTTTGAATAACATTTGAGAATTTATCATCCCAATCCCAAGCTTTTAATTGTGTGACAGGGGCAGGTCATAGAATCACCTGGGCTTCAGGTTCCAGATCTGTAAATGGGGCAATAATAATGTCCATCTCAAGAGATTACAGCCAGGCATGGTTGCTCACGCCTGTAATCCCAGCACTTGGGGAGGCCGAGGTGGGTGGATCACGAGGTCAGGAGTTCAGGACTAGCATGGCCAACATGATGAAACCGAGTCTTTACTAAAAATACAAAAATTAGCCAGGCATGGTGGCGTGCACCTGTAATCCCAGCTACTCTGGAGGCTGAGGCAGGAGAATTTCTTAAACCCAGGGGGTGGACATTGTAGTGAGTCGAGATCGCGCTGCTGTACTCCAGCCTGGGTGACAGAGCAAGACTGCATCTCAAAAAAAAAAAAAAAAAGGAGACTGAGGATTAATTGGCTTCCTACATACACAGTACTTGGAACAGTGACTGACATATAGAAAGTCTTCATATGATAAATTTATTATTGTTAGTGACTCTGCCAGGTATGTTTGAAGTATATTATCTCACTTAATTCTCACATCAACTCAGTGAGGTAAAAAGCGTCACGGATGCTCAGTTTCCTTTTATGTGACATGGAAGAAAAATCACATCCCTCCGTCTTCCCACAGTCTCACCAAATGGCAGGGCTGGGAGCGTCCGCCAGCTAGGCCTGGTTGACCCCAAAGGCAGTGTACCACGGGAGAAACATAATGAAACATGCTTCTGAGAAAGTTTTCCCTGGCATGTGAAGGATATCTCCAGTGGGCAGAAGTCCCAGGAGTCTAGACTAGAGATGATGGGCTCTTGGCCAGAGTGGTGGGAAAATTAAATTTGTGAATGATTATGCAAGGTGGGCACATCAGGGTGACACGGTGAATGTCAGCATGTAGGGAATATTAGGAACAGACTTACCTCTATCTGGCTCCAGACCTCAGTTATACCTCCTCAAAGAGCTTCAAGTCCTTCTGGTAGACGCTGGAAGCTGGGAGTGGGGTGGGCAGTGTTCGGGAAGGAGAGAGACAAAGAGACAGAGAGAGAGTAGTCGGCTGTCTCATGGGAAATTCTTCCCAGTGTGGAGCAGCCAGCTCTCTCGCTCCAGCCCTTTTCTTCTCACCCCGGCCTCACCAAGATTAGAGAAGGTTGGGAAGCCTTACCTCTGCAGGCTTCCTCTGTCCTCTACCTCCACCCAGGTCCTAGCTGCAGAGGGAGGCCTCCCTGCAGATTAGGCTCCGGCTGTACGCTGCTTCGGCCAGCTCCCTCCCTGCCTTCCCTGATTCCATTCCCTTCTCATCTTCTCTCTGCCTCCCACATCCCCCTTTCCAGAAGCTCGACTCCTCTCCCAGTCCCTTCCTCTACCCCACGTGTGCTTCTGTGAGCGCACACACACACACACACACACACACACACACACGGCGGTTGTTTCTGCTGTGAAAAGAATGTATCTGTGTTGGGATTGGCCAGCTGCCTGTATCCCTTGCTGCTCCAAGCTTCCCAGCCGGCATTCCACAAGAGGGTCCCTGGCCTCCAGAAGGCCACAGGAATGTCCCCACCCCCTGACTCTAGCCTAGCCTCCCCTTTCCAGAGTTTAAGAAAATAACAGCGAGTGAAAGGTATGTTTCTCCCTCCAAGCCTTGCTGAGGGGGGTTGTAGGGAGGAGGAGAAGGCATTAAACAAGACTCTCTGGCTGTGCTCTAGGTCAAGGAAGGCAGAGAGATTCTATCCTGAGGGCCAGCAAAGCTCTGGATGGGGTGGGGAATTCCTGGGAGGGGAGGGCTGGAAGGCCCTGTCAGAGGTGTGGCTGGCTATGCCCTGGGCCATCAGTAGCATGCTACAAGACAGCCAGGGCTTCCTTTTTTTGTTGTTCTGGCTTGGCTGATGGCAACACCTTCCCTGGGTCTGATCAAAGGGAAATTGTGGCAGAGTCTTGCTGGTCTCAGCAGTGTCACACAGATGCCAGGTCCCAAACTTTGGCATTTCTCTACTTTCTGGGAACCTGGGAGGAAGACCCTTGGGAAAGAAAACCACCATCTGAGATACAGAAATCCAGTCTGTGCTGCAGCTGTGAGGATCCCAAATACGTGTGGCTTCCATCTTCCAATGATGGCAGCCAAGGACAGGAGTGACTCCCAGGAACCCTGCCCTTTATGGAAGTAGGCCTGTGTGAAGTACCCTGAGAACATAGCTTTTGACTTTGCTTTTGGAAAAAGTGAAGTGTACCCCCTTTCCTACTGCCTACCCGAGCCTTCAGTACCCCCAGTGATTTCTAGAACATGCTTACATGTGGCTCCATGCACAAGGGAGGAGAAGGGGTTTGTCTCTGGCCTCTATCCTGGAACAGAGCGTTCAAGAGAGTTTGGAGGTTGAGGGGAGCAAATGACTCCCTTCTGAAGGTCTGAAATCCTGGTTGTTGTAGTACGTGCAGTTGGGACATACATAGGGTTAGGGAGCCATGGGGCATCTCCATGACAGAGTTGGGCCAACCATGGGGTCTTCTCTCTACCCTGAATCTTAGGAGCGTGTCCCTGGCACCGTATGGAATGAGATTGATGACATGCAGGTGTTTCGGATCCTGGACCTAGAGGATTTTGAAAAAATGTTTTCAGCCTATCAAAGGCACCAGGTAAGACCCTACACCCTCTGGCCTCTTGGGGTTTGATTTCCATATACCATACCCTCAAACCCAACGTCAGCCTCTCCTCTCCCTTCCTTCTTCCCTTCCCTCCTTCCTTCCTCACATGTATCCTGAATGGTTTTATTCTTTATGGGGTGCCGTGTGCTTGCTGAGGATGTGGGTATAAAGTAGAAGTGCACAAACCAGGCCGATGGGGGAACAGCCTTGTATTATGGTTCCTATTTACACACCAAGTATTGAAATGGTATCTGGTCCATTTCTCCCTTCCCTTCTGGAGCACGGGAGGTAGAGTTGCAAGGCCTGACCACCGTGGACCCTTGTTCTCTTTGGTTCAGGATTTAGAGACTAGGCTTAGAAGGCATCATAACTTTTCAAACCACTTCTCTACCACATTTTGTCTTGCAAAGCCTCTATGAGATTAAGCAGGGGATGTTGCCTTGCAAGGAAGGCAGAGGTGCTGTTCCACGTCACTCGGGCTGAGGCTGGGCCTGGGAAGGTCTGGAGAGGCCCCGACATTGCTCTGAAGGCTCTATGTGCAGGTGGCTGCCAGCAAGTCTGGTCCTCCAGTCACAGAGAAAGTTAGGGGGTGAGTTGGTGGCCGAGCGCAGGGCGTTCCTCAGGTGGGAATCTCAAACTGTGCCGAGTGCCTGTGGTGACTGCCAAAAGGGTTGATTCTCAGACCTCATTCTCAAATGGATGTGATTCAGGAGATGAGCTGGGGCCCAGGAGTCTGCATGGTAACTAGCACCGCTGGAGGCCTTCCCTCTAAGTCCACTTGGGGAATGAGCAGCTTAGGAGCCTCAGAGACTTGCTTTCTCTCTGGCCCACCCCAGAGGGACTGTCCCCTCTCGAGGTTGGGCTACCATCTTCTTTGTTTTCTCTATTTAGCCTAGGGCTTCATTCTTGAGGGCTTCCCCCGGTGCCAATGAGTGGGTCCTGGCAGTGCCTGGTTGTGGTGGCCTGGCTCCCCATTGAACTGGAGAGGGTGTCCTGGCTCAGTTTCTGCCCAGCCCTGACCTGTAGATGACCAAGGACACATGCAGCCACTCCTAGGGCACTGGCCAAAGGGAAGGAGGTGGGATCATCTGGCCAGGTGATTATTTAATTTAAATATGGGTGCCCACAGCATCTGATTCCCTTCTCTTCTCCTAATTCCAGGAGACGCTTTTAACCCATGCCCATGTCAGCCTGGCAGCTAACGCTGCTGGAGCTGAAAGGAACTCTTATGAGCACTGGCTCCTGGGAGCCAATTCTCTCTGAGTGGGGCTGAGGACAGAGGAGTGTGTAGCAAGCGTACCAGGCTTGGTGATCACAGGCTGCCTCCTAGTTTGAGGGTCTTCCTGCAGGACAGGGCTCTGGCCCAGACCACTCAGGCTCCAGGGCCTGGAGGTGAGGTTGGGATGGGGCCAGTCAGGAAAGAGACAAACTGGGTCTGGGGCCTCCCAGCTTGGTGAGTTGAGAAGAGTTAAGACTGAAAGATCCCCTGTCCTGTCCCCCTCACTCCTCTGAGCTTACCCAGTCTGGTCATCTGCCTCCCCTCACCCAGTAGGCTGCCCAGTCTCTGGGACTGAAATCCTAGCAGCAGGACTGGAGAGATCCTGAAGGCTGTCTTAACCTTGTTGCCTCCTCTTGCAGATGGCCGTGGGGCAGGGCAGGTCCTGGGAGCCATGGTTCTCTGTGCCCGTGTGGGTTTTGCGTTGGTAGCTTCCATTCTGTCAGTGTCAGGGAGAACAGAGGTGTGGGCTGTGCTGCTTCAGTTCCCCTTGCACAGCGAAGGACAGATGAAGGGCAAGAAGCGAATTCAAGGACACTTGCTTTTTGCTGTGTCAATAAACACAGCTTTCTGGAGCTTCCAGACTGAGTTTGTGACTCCTCCCCTATGTAGCAAGGTGAACTCATCCCAGGGTGGAGGAATGTCTTCTACCCTCTCTGCAGATTTTCAGCAGAGGAAAAGGAAGAACAGGCAGCAAAGCCTGCAGTGAGAGAACTCGGGGGTTTGGTCTGCCCTGACCAGGGAGCGGTGGTCCCACTGGGCGGATGGGAGGCACTGCCTGATCTGTGCTTCGTTTGGCTTCTCCACGAGTGCATGTATGCTAGAAGCAGCTCCTGTCTAGTGCTACTTACAGGCCCCTGTCTCCAACCATGGGTGTCACTGGGACGAAGGGGACAGTGTAGATGCTGAGGTATCCCCATGTCTGTCATGCTATTTCTGGGTCCCCAAATGTCTTGGCTAATGTTGTGCATGTTTAATTCTCTGTTGGCTGTGGCTGCTGCCTAGGAGCTGATAACTAATCCTCCTCAGCAGGTGAGTTACTCTTGGGGCTCTGACCACTCCAACTTTGAACTGCTTTCCTGGGCTGCTGCTCTGTACTGGGCCTGACAGAGGGGACTTGTCCATTCCACCTTCTACCTTGTTCCCCATTCACACAGGGTGGTACGGGAGAGGGTCCCCAAAGAGAAAGAAGAAATGTAGCAGAGGGAAGTAATCAAATAGATCCCTGGCAGCAGTGGAGGTCAGTGTCTCCTGGAATGAGAAGAAGGCTCCTAGGTCTATTGTCTGATCCACCAGGCCAAAGGAGAGCGTTTCCTGTAAGGACACATAGGGTAGGCACCACACAGGTCTAGGGGCACAATTCACAGAGAACCATGTGAGATGGCCTCTGCACTGGTGCAAGAGGGACCTGCCAGAGGAAGGACAGCACACTAGACAGCCTCCTACCTCACCAGGGGCCCAAGAGGAGGAGTAGGGCAGGATCAGTGATTTCTCTGGAATCTGCCTGCTGGAACCTCAGAAGAGAGAGTTCTGCCTCAGTTTCCTTACCTGCGAACTGGTGGATGCTCTCTACTCTGGGCACACTGGATGGTACCTGAAGTCCCTAGGCATTAGCAACTGTTCCCTGTGGGGGTTTGCAACCAGCTTCTCGCATAAGCCTGAGGGAGGGCATCTGTGTTGGGCAGTGGGAGTGGGAATGGATTCTGTGGGAGACATGGTAGGTTATGTCACATTGCCCAAAGCCACAGGGATCAGTCACACCCTGACCCACTGGCACAGCCCTTCCCTTGTTGCCCAGAATGGATAATTTCAAAAAAAAAAAAAAATTAGGGGTCTCCTCAGTGTCCTTCCCCAACCCCTTGGGGCCTATGGAAAAGTTCTTGTCTTAAAGGTAGCTGTTAGCCACCCTCCTCTCTCTCCTGTCTTTTCCTTCCCCCTTCGCCTCATGCCAGGAGCATTCCTGGATTGGTAGGAGGTGGCTCTTCGGGGGTGGGCAAGAGGAGGATTGGGGAACATACACCTCAACTGTCCACTTCACTTGTTGGTTACAGAAAGAGCTGGGCTCCACTGAGGACATCTACCTGGCTTCTCGCAAGGTCAAAGAGCTGTCGGTCATTGACGGCCGGAGGGCCCAGAACTGCATCATTCTTCTTTCCAAGTACGTGCAAAAGAAGGTGGTTGAGTTGAATGCTTGGGGGACAAGGGGAATAGAGGAATGGAGTGATGGCGGTTTTGGGCCCCTCCCTCTCTGCTGTCCCCTGGGAGGGGGCGGGCATTGATCTGGAGCTGTCTCCTGGGAACCTGCCTTGAGCAGCAGTTTGAGGCTCTGCAGGCAGGGAACTGCCCAGTCACGAGGCCCTTGTGCAGCCTGGTCAGCGTCTGGCGGCCGAGTTGCTCTAAGCCCACGGAGGGCCTCGCTTGGCTCACGCCACGGAGCAGCATGATCTCAGCCTCTAAGCATTTCCCGTGGCTGCAGAACAAACAGGGCAGTATCTGTGCTAACAGCACAGCTTCTGTGCAGGGGCCTCCTGTCTGAGCCAGGGTCAGAGGGCACCACCTCCCATACTAGTCTTAGTGCTGCCCCAGCTGCCTCTGAGACATCCTCCCCCCTTTTCTCTCACAAGCCCCCAGGCCTCAGTTTCCTCCAATTGATGGTGGAAAGAGTTCTGAATCCCCAGGGTTCCTAATGGGGGTGTGTGTGGAGGGGATAGGGAAGGGCTATGAGGGGGTGTGTGGGGAGTGTGGCTTCTTCCTGTCCCAGGCAGCGAGTGATTGGGACAGCTGTATGGGAGCTGAGGCGCTGTGAGAAGACAGAGTGATTCTGAGTTCTGAGAACGAAGGCAGCAGGAAATTGCCCTCTTAGTGGCTCACCAGTAATTCTGTCCTCCTGTGGAGATGCTGTGCATTTTTTCTGCATGAGGAGGAGGAGAAGGATCAGGAACCCTCTGCCATGTCCCTTTGGTCTACCTTGAAGACATCTCTTTTACTCCCAAATGCCCCTATGAGTTTTGATGGAGTCTAAAGAGACTAGAGACCCTCACATCTCTAATTAGACACTAAAATGCTCATTATCAAGTTTATGGACTGAATCGTATTAGTCTAGGCTAAGAAGGCTTTGTAGAGGAGTTGAGTGGGGAGTACTATTCAATGTATCCCAAGTTTGTGTTAGGGAATGAGGGAAGGCGGAGGTGGTACCTTTTGGAGAAGGACGTTGAAGGCTGTCCTGGATGGAGGGGCCAGACCAGGCCGCTCAGGGGGTGGGGTTTTGTCTTAGGTTGAAGCTTTCTAACGAGGAGATCCGGCAGGCCATCTTGAAGATGGATGAGCAGGAGGACCTCGCTAAGGACATGCTGGAGCAGGTGAGGACCCTCGTGGGAAGGAAGGGGAGCTGAACCCAGGGGGCAGCCATGCGCCTTCCTGAAAGCCCCCAGAAAGGCTGTGACTCTTGGGTTAAGGAGAAATCAGGCTGAAAGAGTTGGGGAGAAGGTTTATAGAAACCTGCCTTGGTCACCCTTTCTCGGAGAAAGCTGGAAAGGCTGCATCGTTTCGAGGCTTTGTTCCCCGATGACTCCCAAGGCAAATCTTCCCCAAATCTCTTCCCCCTCAGTTCTGTGGATCCTTTGAGAAACCTAGAAAACAAACACACACACACACACACACACACACACACACACACACCATCAATTGGACTGCATTACAATTAAGAACTTCTGTTCATCAAAGGGCACAGTTACTGAGTGAAAAGAGAAGACAAACCTTAGAAGAAAATATTTGCTATACATGCATATAACAAAGATCATACTCAGTTCAAAGAACTCTACAAATCAATGAGAAAATGATGAAGAAATCAACTTAAAAATGAGCAAAAGACTTGAGCAGGTGCTTCATGAAAGGCGATTTCCAAATTGCCAATAAGCATATGAAAAGGTGTTCAATACTATTAGTTATCAGAGAACCATAATAAGAGGGCACCACACAGCCACCAGAGCACTAAAATTAAAAAGACTGACAATGCTATGTGCTGCCAAGGATGTGAAGCAATTGAAATTCTCAATTGGCACAACTATTTTGGAAAACTTGGCAGTGCACAGTATAGCTAAATATATACCCGCCCTATTGCCTAGTAATCCCACTCTCAGGTATAGTTCCAGGGAAACAAGTACAAATGCTGACTAAAAGAAATATACAAGGCCGGGCACACTGGCTCATGTCTGTTATCCCAGCACTTTGGGAGGCTGAGGTGGGCGGATCACCTGAGGTTGGGAGTTCAAGACCAGCCTGGCCAACGTGGTGAAACCCTGCTTCTACTAAAAGTATAAAATTAGCTGGGCATGCAGCATGCCTGTAATCCCAGCTACTTGGGAGGCTGAGGCAGGAAAATCATCTGAACCTGGGAGTGGAGGTTGTGGTGAGCCGAGATCGCACCATTGCACTCCAGCCTGGGCAACGAGCAAAACTCTGTCTTAAAAGAAAGAAATATACAAGAATATAGCTGACCCTCAATAATGTGGGGAGCTAGAGGCATTGACCCCCCACATAGTCAAAAACCTACATATAACTTTTCACTTCCCTATAACTTAGCTACTAATTGCCTACTGTTGAATAGAAGCCTTACTGATAACATAAACAGCCAGCCAATTAACACATTTTTTATGTTGTACGTACTATATGCTGTATTCTTACAACAAAGTAAGCTAGAGAAAAGAAAATGTATTTAGGAAATCATTAGAAGGCCAGGCATGGTGGCTTATGCCCATAATGCCAGCACTTTGGGAAGCTGAGACGAGCAGATTACTTGAGGTCAGGAATTTAAGACCAGCCTGGCCAGCATGGTGAGACCCTGTCTCTACTAAAAAATACAAAAATTAGCCAGGCGTGATGGTGCTTGCTCATAGTCCCAGCTACTCGGGTGGCTGAGGCAGGAGAATCGCTTGAACCCAGGTGGTGGAGGTTCCAGTGAGCTGAGATCGTACCACTGCACTCCAGCCTGGGCAACAGAGTGAGTGAGACTCTGTTAAAAAAAAAAAAAAATCACTAGAAGGAGAAAATATATATACTGTTCATTGAGGGCAGGTAGATCATCATAGAGGTCTTCAGTCTTCATCCTCATTGCCTTCATGCTAAGGAGGAGGAATAGGAGTGGCTGGTCTTGCTGTCTCAGGGATGGCAGAGGCGGAAGAAAATCCCCCACATACAAGTGGTCCTACACAGTTCAACCCTGTGCTTGGAAAGTGAACGATCAGATTGTGGTGTATTCATACAGTAGAATCCTACTCAGCAGTAAATAAACTACCCTGATATGGATGAACCTGAGGCATTGTGTTGAGGAGGAGAAGCCAGACATAAAAGAGAGCATACAGCATGAGTTCAAGGACAGGCAAATCTGGCCAAGGTCCCAGAATTCAGTTGAGAGCCTATATTCACTTGAATGGCTGGCTGAAGTGATGCAAAATAACTTTCTTGGGAGATGGAAATGTTCTGTATCTTAATCTGAATGATGATTCAATGGATGGAGATTTGACAAAAATCACTGAGCTGCACATTTAAAATGGGCGTGTTTTATTTTATGTAAATTATACCTCAAGTTGGTTTGAAAGGAAAGAAAAATCACTGAGCTGTACCTTGAGGAATGGTGTACTTTAGGCCACATGGTGGCTCCTACCTATAATCCTAGCACTTTTGGAGGCTGAAGCGAGAGGATCACTTGAGCTCAGGAGCTGATGAAGATCAGCCTGGGCTACATAGTGAGATCCTGTCTTTACCAAAAAAAGAAAAAAAAAATTAACCGACTATGTGCTGCATGCCTGTAGCCTCGGCTACTGAGGAGCTGAGGTGGGAGGATTGCTTGAGCCCAGGAGGTCTAGGCTACAGTGAGCTAGGATCATACCACTGCATTCTAGCCTGGGTGACAGAGCAAGTCCACATCTTAAAAAAAAAAAAAAGGAATACTGTACATCAGTTACATCTCAATTTTAAAAAGAAAAAAAAAGTTCAGAGCTGGCTGCTCTGTCATTCCCTTCAGGCAGATGAAACAAACCTGTCCACATGAGGGTGCCTTTCTCTTTCAAGGCACCCTCCCCATCTTGAGCAGAGTCAGTACAGCTTCTCACAACCTGCACCCCGTGTCTGCTGCTCACCAGTTGCTTGTGTGACTTGCACCTGCTCTTTTCAGCTCCTCAAGTTCATCCCAGAGAAGAGTGATATTGACCTACTGGAGGAGCACAAGCATGAGATCGAGCGGATGGCCCGCGCTGACCGCTTCCTCTACGAAATGAGCAGGTTGGGGCCACGCGCCTGGCGGGGGGCTGGGATTGGGCCAGGTAGGGTTCTGCCAAGGGGAAGGGGATGGAGGTGGGCAGGCTCAAGAGGAGGCTGGAGCTGGCTCCTGGAGCTGGGGCTGGCTGGGGTGAGGGTGAAATAAGATATGGCTCACCTTGTCCACAGGATCGACCACTACCAGCAGCGACTGCAAGCCCTGTTCTTCAAGAAGAAATTCCAGGAGCGGCTGGCAGAGGCAAAGCCCAAAGTAGAAGGTAGGCTGAGGGTTGCAGGAGGCCTAGAATGGAGAGGCATCTGAGAACGGCAGGGTAGGTGGGAGCCACTGAACAGGGGCAGAGGGAAACCCCTTTCTTATTCTCAACCTGAAAGCAAAAGGTCAAAGACAAAATGCAAAATGATTATGAAAATATGCACTTGCTTATATGAACACATGCGCCAACCTTGTGACATGTTGCTAATGCCTCAGTGTGCAAGCTCTTTAAGTACTCCCCAGGGATTGCCTGTGCTGATGGCAGAGGAGGGAGGGGCATGGAGTTGTCGTGAGAGGCAGGAGATCGGGATGGTGGGCAGACATGGGGACCCAGGAGGCAACAAGCAGGAGAGGCTGTGAGGCTCATCTGTGGGGAGGACAGGATCAGTACAATGGAGGAAGAGAGGCTGTTTCCTCTAATGATTGTTTCCTTTGCTGTGCAGAAGCTCTTACGTTTAATTAGAGCCCATTTGTCTATTTTGGCTTTTGCTGCCATTGTTTTTGGCGTTTCAGTCATGAACACCTTGCCTATACCTATGGCCGACAAACATGAAAAAATGCTCATCATCACTGGTCATTAGAGAAATGCAAATCAAAACTACATTGAGGTACTATCTCACACCAGTTAGAATGGCGATCATTAAAATATCTGGAGACAACAGCTGCTGGAGAAGATGTGGAGAAGCAGGAACACTTTTACACTGTTGGTGGGAGTATAAATTAGTGCAACCGTTGTGGAAGACAGTGTGGTGATTCCTCAAGGAGCTAGAAATAGAAATACCATTTGACCCAGCAATCCCATTACTGGGTATACACCCAAAGGATTATAAATCATTCTATTATAAAGACACATGCACACATGTGTTCTTTGCGGCACTGTTTACAATAGCCTGGAACCAACAAGACCTGGGACCAACCCAAATGCCCATCAAGGATAGACTGGATAAAGAACATGTGGCACATATACACCATGGAATACTATGCAGCCATAAAAAACGATGAGTTCATGTCCTTTGCAGGGACATGGATGAATCTGGAAACCATCATTCTCAGCAAACTGACACAAGAACAGAAAACCAAACACTGCATGTTCTCACTCATAGGCGGGTGCTGAACAATGAGAACACATGGACACAGGGAGGGGAACATCATACACTGGGATCTCTTGTCGGGTGGGGAGATTGAGGAGGGATAACATTGGGAGAAATACCTAATGTAGGCGACAGGGGATGGATGCAGCAAACCACCATGGCAATGTGTATATCTATGAACAATCCTGCAAGATCTGCACATGTACCCCAGAACTTAAAGTATATATATATTTTTAAAAGCCTGTTTCCAGGATGTTGAGGTTACCAGTCTGGGGGCAGAACAGAGCATGGGCACCCCCTGCTGGACACCAGGACCAGTCAGTACTCCTCGACATGCCCAGTCCAGAGAGTAGCCCTTCCTGAAATTCATTGAGATGCTTCAGGGGGAGTCTGCGGATAGGGTGGAGCACGCAGAGCTAAGACAGATGTTTTTCATAATCAGACCTTGCCCCCGCCTCCACCACACACAGGGAAAGGGATCTGCAGGTGGTAAGCATAATCAGTTGAGAGAGAAGGAAAGAGAGCAGCAGTGACTTCATCTCTGAGGTCTGGTCAACTCTCCTACCCTAGTGATGGGTGAATCCTTACCTTCATCACAACTTTCTTTCATCCTGCTGCAGACTGCCCTTTGAAGCATGCAGCGCAAATAAGGGGTTCAGCCCAAGACATGTGCGCACAACTCTGTGTGTGTCTTGGGTAAGTGGAACAAATGTGAGCAGTGCCATTTGGAGATTTGGAACTGGAGTAGCTTAGCTACCACAAAGGCTTAATCTCAGTTTCCTGCTCCCAGGAGCCTAAGCTCTCCCAAAGAATTAGTAGATACTCAGGAAAGAGACTCCCTTTGATATCAAGCTAAGCTGAGTAAGATGTGTTTGGGATAGCAAAATCTGCTGGGGAAAGCTGCTCTTCTATGGTTCCGCTCTGTAATAATTATTCTGTATAGCAATGGCTGCTGTCCTTGTATAGACCAGATATAGGTCTCTTTCCTCTAAGAAGTACATAGGAAAAGCATGCCTGAAGTTGTGTATTATAGAATCAGATCATTGTGTGTGACTGTGGGTGGAGAAAAGAGGATTGTGTAAAGATGGGATTCCTATTCTTCCTTCCAGTTCTCCCAGGAAGTATTCCTGGAAGAGCTAAGATTTGGCCTATCCCAGCTAGGTGATGAGCTATTGACACCTGCCCTCCCACCCTGAGCAGGGGCTCCGAGTCCACTTGCCAAAAGCCGGTTCACCAAATTTGACAAAGTTACCAGTTCCTCTATGAATATATTCATAAACTTATTATTCTTGAATATATCCTTATGAATATATTTATTGCTGAATATACCACATTTACTGATTCTTATTATAAATACATTCACCGAATATAGTCAAGATGAATATGGTTGCAAGTGTAATGTTCTTATGAATATATTCATGAATATATTATTCTTGCAAATATATCTAAAATGTCAGAACTGCATTTGGGAGTTTTCCCATTTACACTGATTTCCTTTGAACTCTTGTCATTTTCTGTTTTGCCAACATTTTAGCATTTTTAGGAGGATTCCTTTGCAGATTTTCCAAATAGCATATAAACTTTAGAAAAAACATCCCAACCAATCCAAGTACTTTTTTTTTTAACTTTTGAAATATAACATGCATATAGAAAAGTACGCAAATCATGAGTCCTACTTGAGGAATTGAAAAAGTTAACCACATGTGTAATCAACACCCAGGTCAAGATATACAGTTTCCAACCCCCCAGAGCTTCTTGATGTCCTTCTCCCAACCTTTACGCCCTCGCTTTTGTCTCTAAAGTTCAAACCTATCTTGACTTCTAGATTAGTTTCATCAGTTTTGAACTTTATTTTTTTGAGACAGGGTCCTGCCCTGTCACTCAGGCTGGAGTGCAGTGGTGTGATCTTGGCTCACTGTAAACTCTGCCTACTGAGCTCAAGGTCCCCTCCCACCTCAGCCTCCCAAGTAGCTGGCACTACAGGCACATACCACCAGCCTAGCTAAGTTTTGTACTTTTGTAGAGATGGAGCTTCACCATGTTGCCCAGGGCTGGTCTTGAACTCCTGGGCTCAAGTGATCTGCTCACCTCGGCCTCCCAAAGTACTGGGATTGTAGGCATGAGCCATTGTGCCTGGCCTGTTTTGAACTTTATAGGAATGGAATAATAGAGTATGAATAATTTAATTATGCTGCTGACTTTTGCTCAACATTATGGTTGTGACTTGTCCCTAATGTTACATGTAGCAGTGGGTTATTCATTTTCAGTTCTGCATTTTCTTCCATTATATGAATATACTGTAATTTACCCATTCTATTTTGAATTAAAAAAAAACCACAAAACTAGAAACAATAGAAATACTCATCAAAAATAATGTGGCTTTTAGGTTACAGAGTATGTACATGTTCAACTTAAAAGCTACTGACAAACCTTACTATTTTTACAACTTTTTTTTTTTTGAGATGGAGTCTCACTCTTGCCTAGGTTGCAGTGCAGTGGCATGATCTCAGCTTACTGCAACCTCCGTATCCTGGGTTCAAGCAATTCTCCTGCCTCAGCCTCCCAAGTAGCTGGCATTACAGGCGTGTGCCACCACACCCAGCTAAGTTTTGTATTTTTGGTAGAGACAGGGTTTCGCCATGTTGGGCAGGCTTGTCTCGAACTCCTGACCTCAGATGATCTGCCAGCCTTGGCCTCCTGAAGTGCTGGTAGAGCTTCTTTTCAAGTTACTTATTTCTAACTTTGTTAGAAGCTTTCTACAAACTTCTAGCCAAGTGGTTTTCATTTTATCTTCCTAGCAGCATCTTAAAGAATGTTCAGTTTGGCATAAGCCAAAGATCACAGGGTAATCTGGTCTTTTTGTTGCCACATTGAATATTCAAAAAGTATATTCTATAACTAGTAGACAAAAATCTTAGTATAGGATTTGTGTCTTCCTTCTGTGCACCCACCACAAAGGCATCAGAAGGGCCAGAGCATACACAGCAGGATGAATTACTGAAGTTTTGGTTACTGTTAGCTTAGTTTGTATTTCTAGCAAAGATGTCATTTAAAGCATTGCGGGAAAATGGTTAAGATGGCCAAAGGTTGGAAAAATCTTAAAAATGATATTCAATAGGATGTCAAGTAGCTTATTTCATCGAATCTTAGACACTATCAACTGAAAAGCATGCCATTATTTTATAGAACAAAAATAATAGATTATAACTGAGGACATTTAATTGATGGGTTTTCTTTCCAAAAGACCAATAGAATATAGCATTTCAAGACAGGTAGAAGCAATCCCATAATAGGTAAAATGCTGAAGTTAAATGCTAGGTATCGAGAAGTAACAGTGTCATATTCATGAGTATATTCAAAGAAAGAATACCTGATTTTTTATTTTTATTTTTTTGAGACAGAGTCACATACTGTTGCCCAGGCTGTAGTGCAGTGATGCAATCTCAGCTCACTGCAACCTTAACCTCCTGGGTTCAAGCGATTCTTTTACTTGGGCTTCCCAAGCAGCTGGGATTACAGGCATGTGCCACCACACCCAGCTAATTTTTGTATTTTTAGTAGAGACAGGGTTTCACCATGTTGGCCAGGGTGATCTCGAACTCCTGACCTCAAGTTATCTGCCTGCCTTAGCCTCCCAAAGTGCTAGGATTACAGATGGGAGCCATCGCACCTGGCCTTTTAAATCTTTAAATACATGTAAGAAAACCTCTTCTGAAATTATATTCTTGGGAAGAGCTGGCATGTCCTACAAATGGAGTGTCTACTTCCCCTAGAGGTGGGTGAATGTGGGGATGTGAAATGGATGGGTCTGCTGAGGAGTGGGTATAATCTCTGCCTCACTTGAAGACTTTTGACAGACCATTTTCTGAACTTTGTGGTGGCATCCTCCTGGGGTGCAAGGGGACCCACTGCCCTGCCTGGCCCACGCATGGCTGTGACCGGTGTCTCCTCTCCCAGCCATCCTGTTGGCCTCCCGGGAGCTGGTCCGCAGCAAGCGTCTAAGACAGATGCTAGAGGTCATCCTCGCCATAGGCAACTTCATGAACAAAGGGCAGCGTGGAGGCGCCTACGGGTTCCGGGTGGCCAGCCTCAACAAGATCGCCGACACCAAGTCCAGCATTGACAGGTGAGCACCTCCCCTCCTGGTCACTTCCTTGGCCTCTATCTCACCCTACCCTGGGCTCTCCCATTAGGAGGGGAACATCCTAAGACTCATCACCCCTTTCTCTTAACTCCCCAGTCTAGTTTCCGCCTGACCCTTATGCCCAGTTTCCTCTGTCACCCTTAACCCGACTTTTGTCCACAGAAACATCTCTCTGCTCCATTACCTGATCATGATCCTGGAGAAGCATTTTCCTGATATCCTGAACATGCCTTCGGAGCTGCAGCATCTACCAGAAGCCGCCAAAGTCAAGTGAGACTTCCTTCTCCCCGTAATGACCCTCACTCTGGTCTTACTTTCCTCTTTTGGGGCCTACTCTGGGCTTGTTAATGGCTGATGTGAGACCTCGGTTCTTGTCTTCTCAGTTTAAAAGAGTTTAGACAGACACACAGTAAAGGGGATATAGCATAGAACAATGTATTGCAAAAGAAAAAGAATGTCTTGTAAGTTAGGTGCAGATACACCCTGAGAAAGAGAGAGGATTCAGGGAGGGCTGCTTATAAGGATGAGGGCTGTAATAGGAAGACTCCCATGATGGGAGAGTTATATGGTTATTCATAAGGAGGTGGGAAGAGATATTAGGAAGAAAGTTCTGGGTGCTTCTCTGGGGGCACATGAGCAGTAGCTGTACCTGCTTTTTCATACGTCTCATGTCCCATTAGCATCTTAAATCTCCACCCAGGGGTGTGTGTTTCGCTGTCATATTTACTATTATATAATGGGCAAAGGATCATCAGTTTGAAGACAGGAAAAATCAACACACACATGCTTTCTGAAGGGGAAGTCCCTACTGAAGATAGCTTTGCTTGAATGAGTGCAATTACAGTGTGAATGCTGAGGTTTATTGTGTTGACTGTATGGTCACCACCACAGTTACTGTGTCCCAAGAACATGGTCACTTCCTTGACTACTCATCCTGCCTCAGGCCGACTAGGAATGGGCCATGTCTCAGGGTCTGCTTCTGGGAGAACCAAAACAAAGACAATTTGCTCTGAAATCCTTATTTCAGAGATGATTCCAGAAGGAAAGAATGGGGAAAGGAGCCAGAGATAGAATGCCAGTAACAAGCATTATTCAGCCAGTTACCACTTGCAGGCAATTGGTGCTTAACCCCATGAGGAATTCAGGGAGACTGTGTGGATACTTACATCAGTTTTCCCAACCAAAGGGCAAGGTGGCTGGGGCAATCAGACAGCACCTCCTGTCAGTAATGAGCTGAAGGGCTCTACAGGGACAGGGAATAACTCTCTGGCCATAGGTATAGGTGGAAGGAGCTTGGCCTCAAAAAGATGGTGCCCACAGTTGGAAGAGTCGAGATCAGGCCCTACAATGGATGGTCCAAGGAAATGTGGGTACGGCATTACAGCATGCACTAGGCAGGACATCAGACCTCAACATCTAGGCTGATAGATGCCATCTCCAGGAGAACCAGAAACATAATGGTAAATAGCTCACTGGTATCCAGTGCTGTTACTTGCAGGATCACGTAAAGAGTTTACAAGCATTACCTGGTAGTAATCAAGATAACTAGATCTAAGCCAGAGGCCACCGGTTGGAAACCTTCCAATATTGCAGCATGACACTTCTGATCTAGAAAGATCTATAGATTGCAGTATGGATGCACAGAGGCAGGAAGGGGAGGGGCTTTGCCAGGGCCAACATCAGTGGTCACAGCAAGGCTGGAACGCAGGTACACTGACTCCCAGGCCACTGTGCTTGGCTCTGCCCTCTCCCTGAACCAGCCTCAGCACCTCAAGGCTGGAGCAGATGGTCCTCATTCCCCTCCGTGTGTGTCTCCTCACAGCCTCGCAGAGCTGGAGAAGGAGGTGGGCAACCTCAGGAAGGGCCTGAGAGCGGTGGAGGTGGTGAGTACCTTGTCAACGCCTACCTGGGTGAGGGCTGCTGTCAGAAAACCACTGTTCATGCTGTCTGTTACTGCACCTCAAGCTGCTAGACAGGGACATAGAACAACAGGTACAGTGGGAACAGCCTCTAGCACAGGGTCAGCCCTCCAGAAGGAGGACTGGATGACTAGGGCTTACATTTGAGCCTTTTAAAAGGGGTTGAGATTATACCCATGTTACCATCCAACTTGTGTCTATTTGGCAGCGGAGTAGAATGAACCATACATTTGACCCATGCCTATGCTGGATTCAAGTGCATGGGAAAGAAAATCCTCATCCCTTGACTGCCAGCTAGGGGCAGAAAGCACACAATGTGTCAGTGAGACCCATGTCCCCAGAAAGTTCTTCCTTATGTCTCTCTGCCTCTTTCCTGGGCCAGCGGAGGAGCCAGGTCTCTTGTTCTCACCATTCCTGTTCTGACAGCTTCTCAGCTAGTACTATCTCTGGCCCTAGGCTTCCAGAAAACACCAGTAGAGCAGTGGGGAAGTGAGGCAGACTGGCCCAGTATGGGGCTGTCTCTAAGTGTTATCATGTTATCATTCACACCTAGGAACAAGAGATCCTTCCTACCTACTCTGTGGAGAGAGAAAGTGGGTAAGGGGAGAACAGACTTTAGAGTCTGAGAAAGTACGTTTTGTCGCCGCGATGGTGGGGGAAGATGATTTCCAAATTTACAATTGTAGAGTCCTGTTAAGTGCTGCTCAAAGTGTGGTCCATGGACCAGCAGCCTGTGAATCAGCTGGGGGCTTTAGAAAAATCTCTTTAATTTGTGCATGAGTCACCTGGAGTCTTGTAAAAATGAGCTTTGTTAAAATGCAGCTTCTGATCCTGTGGGTCTGACATTTTGTATTTCTCAATTTCTCAGGTGATGCTGCTGGCCCCAGGTCACACACTGGGTCTTGGCGCTCTAGAGAAAGAAAGATGGCAGGGTGGGCTGGCTGCTAATGCTTATAGTCTTTACCATTCTTAGAACTCTGAGATGCAGGGTGTTCCCTCTTCCAAAGGGCTCGATGTGAGTGACAAGAAGGATGGGAGATGCTGTGACCCCTGTTCCCCGGACGCTCATCTTGGCACCAGTCTCAGCAGCACTTTACTCTCCCTTTTCAGGAGCTGGAGTATCAGAGGCGCCAGGTGCGGGAGCCCAATGACAAGTTTGTCCCCGTGATGAGCGACTTCATCACGGTGTCCAGCTTCAGCTTCTCAGAGCTGGAGGACCAGTTAAATGAGGCCAGGGACAAGGTAAGGGTGCCCCAACCCCCACTGCTTGCCAACCCAGCCTTATCTAAACAAGCTTCTTCACCCATTCCTACTGCAGACAGCCCAGGAGGGACAAAAGCAGAGTCACAGAGCTTTGAGGGAAAACTATCTCCTCACTCTTAACAAGACCAACAATGGAAACCATATGCTGCAAATACGGTGGTACATTTATCAGCTATCAGGCACCATGTTAAGTGTTTTAAAGGTGTGTCACCACCTACTTTTTCCCACTTGGCACATATGAACAGTGAAATCAGAGAGGTTAAGTAACTTGCCCCAGATTGCCCAGCTCTAAATGATAGAACTGGGTTAGAATCCTGACACCACAGCCTAGCAGTGGACCTGATTGCTATGCCTCTACTGCTTCTCACACTAACATGCCCAGGGACCTCATGCATGCAGATCTTATTAAAACACGGATTCTCATTTAGGAAGCCTGAGATTCTGTGTTTCTAACAGGCTTGTAGGAGGTGAACCTGCTGCTGGTCCATGAAGCACCGAGTAGCAAGATCTTTCTTGGTGGATACAGAGTGGGCTCAATTAGCAATGGTACCTTTAAGTGCCTGGCATACAGAAGTAAAGCCACTAACTCATCTAACCCCCAATACCATTATGATGTAGATTCTATTACTCCCATTTTATAGAGGAAGAAGCTGAGGCACAGAGGGGTTAAGTTATTAACCAGATAACTAGAGGATCTCTGAAGTTCTGAGTTCTGCCATGTGCTTTCCTGACCTCACGAAGGGCTTCCCAAGGTCTATACGCCTGATCCCAGGCCCACCCCAGGCCTGGGGCTGGCTCCGAGTTGGGCTGTGAGTGAGCCCAACTCTTTACCTGCCCAGGGTGTTAGCCTCAAGCCTATCCTTAGCCTTGTTTCCTCGCCCTTTCCAGCCCTGCCCCCTGTGCCAGCTGTCCCCAGCCTTGCACTGGGCTCTGTGGCTGGAACCCAGCTAACCTCAGGGGCTGTGCCCAGCATGCTCCCGGCACTTTCCAGCAACCCTGTTCTCTCTCCCTTGACAGTTCGCCAAGGCCTTGATGCACTTCGGGGAGCATGACAGCAAAATGCAGCCGGACGAATTCTTTGGCATCTTTGACACCTTCTTGCAGGCCTTCTCGGAGGCCCGGCAGGACTTAGAGGCCATGAGGCGGAGGAAGGAGGAGGAGGAGCGGCGGGCGCGCATGGAAGCCATGGTGAGGGGTGTGCTGGGCCTGGGACTAAGGGGAGATGGGTGCATGGGAGGAGGGCAGGGACTGGGCCATGCCATAGGGGTGGGTATCAGCCCCAGGAGACAGAAACTTCTTCCTAGCCTGAGGGAAGAGAGCAGTGTGAGGCGGGGAAGCCTGTATGTCCTAGGCAGGAGGAGAGTGGGGCCAACAGATACAGGTCGGCAGCATGGCCATGGCCTGGGAGTTAGCTCAGGGCTGAGGGGCTGCCCTGATCTCAGACCCTCGCTCTAAGAGGGTTCCTGCCTCCGGCACCCCACCCGCAGCTGAAGGAGCAGAGGGACCGTGAGCGGTGGCAGCGGCAGCGGAAGGTCCTGGCTGCGGGGAGCTCGCTGGAGGAGGGAGGCGAGTTCGATGACCTGGTGTCGGCCCTGCGCTCCGGGGAGGTCTTTGACAAGGACTTATGCAAGCTCAAGCGCAGCCGCAAGCGATCAGGGAGCCAGGCCCTGGAAGTCACCCGGGAGCGGGCAATAAACCGGCTCCATTACTGACCTGGGGAACTGGCCACATGGGAGGCCGGTAGACAGGGCCGGGTGAGAACGGGGATGAGCGGAGGCGGTGGTGATAGTTCAACCATTTGGTGCTTGGTTTAGAACCCTAGGCTGGGTCCTGGGGTGGGGGGCTGTGTGTGGCCAGACCAGGCGTCTCCCCACACTTACCTTAAGGGGCTCCTCTCATCTCCCCTTCACACGATTCCTTCTGCGTCCTGGCCCCAGGGCTTATTCTGAGGCTGGCTTGGGACATCCCTGGAAAGCCTCCAACCAGGTAACCCCAGGCTGAGAGGGCCCTGCTCCCCATCCCCTACCATGGGCACCCCCATATGCTGGCACACAACAGTTCCAGATCCGCACTGGAGAGGTCCACGGCCTTGTCCGGATTTCCTGTGCAGCAGCGGGAATGATGATGAGGGGCCCCGAGAGGAAATCCAGACCCTGCCCCTCAACGGGAGGCTCAACAGAACATCGACCTGGGGCAAACTTCCTCTTGAAGGCAAACAGAGGCGCCATTATATATTCTAGTTAGATCAGCTCTGGTAGGTTCCAGAGAACAGTGTCAGAAGGCTGATGCAGGGACCAAAGCCCTCAGGACAGAGTAGCAGTATCTGTTGCCCATGTCACAAGTCCTCTGGCCTCTCTCTGCATGTCTTAAGTCTCCCTTCCTTTCCTCCCCTCACCTCCATCTGTCTACTAATCCACAGTCCTAGAAGAAGACTCACCTATGGGCTTCCAGAGTTATGGCTCACTACCAGGTGCTTGATGAATCTGGTAAGGGAGGGGCTCAAGAAAGACCTCATTCATCACCACACTTCATGCCTTGGGCATATCCCACGTCCCCACCTCCCGGACACCTGGCCATTGTTGTGAAGCCAGACAGTGACCTCAAATGTTAACCTGGAGTCCCCTATGGCCCCTCGACAGAGGGCAGCACTTGAATACTTAGCTCCATCCCACAGCTCTCTACTTCATATAAATAGTTCAGGCCCTCCCACCCACTTATCTAACAGCCTCAAGGCAGAAACCACAGTGGCCTCTGTCCAGCCTGTAGGCAGCCACTTAGAACCATGTGTCCACTGGCGCTGGAGAGTTGGTTCCTGAGGTCTCTGAGGGCCAGAGCTGCACTTTGGGTTAAGATGCTGTCTCTAAGGGTATCCCCTCTGAGGCATTCAGATGAGGGAAACTAAGGAGATGGTGATGGAGGAGGAAGGCTGACATCCTCTGGGGAGCACATGCCTGAAGGGGCCAAGGAGGAAGCCTGGGCTGGGGGGGGGGGCACATCCCCACCTCTTGTGCCCAATTTGGTTCTTCAGCCTTACAAGGGGCTCCTTCTGGTCTTCCCATCCACTCCTACCTTCCATGTTGTCCATGTCGTGCTGGCCTTGGTAAATGGGATGGCCGTACCTAGACAAAACTCCTTTCTTCTAAAACTCCATGAAGGCTCTTATTTTCAGTACTGTGCTCCGAGTTGTTGACCTTTCATCCTCTGTGAGACTGGTCCTGCCTTGACCTCTACCATCAACCAGCTCTTGGCTCTTCTGCCCTTCCCTGTGTTTCTCACTTTCCAACCTAATCACCGGCTCAGGGTTATTGCCAGTGGAGACTGGTGAGCTGGGCCCATTCTCAGCTGCCTCTACTTCTGCCTTTCACCTGCATCAGACTCCTGGGGCTGGGACTGTAGTCGCTGCGGGGGAAGAAACCCAGTGTTGATGAGCCCAGCATGTGTGTTGGTTTGAGGGGGCGGGCAGCGCGTGTGTTCTGGTGGGAGGGACCTGAGCAAGTGCAAGCCTGGCTGACACAGGTGTGAAGAGGCCATCCTGGAACCCAGGTGAGGGCAAAGATGAAGGCTTCCAGGCAGAGCAGCTGCAGAGTTTGGCTATACCCATCTGCACCCCCCGAGCTCCCACTGCAACACAGGCATTGGGATGATAGGTGGTGGGTGAGACCTCTAAATGTCCTCTCCCAAACTGGCTAGGCTGATGTTAACTTAACCCCCAAGGGGCAAGGGGCAGGGAAGAGGGGAGGGCTCCACAAGTGCGTCTGGCCTTCCCATCCACCGTGGAAGACTGGATACGCACCTCCAAAGACAAGGACTACGGAAGCTGTTCAAGACACATTTGATCTTCAGAAAAGCTGAATCTGGTTTAACTGCTGACAGAGGGCACAAATACGTTGTTCCAGAGCCCAGCCTTCTCACTCTAAAAGATATTTTTTTATTTATTATTTTCTAGATCTGGCCAGTGGCTCTGGTTCTAGATGCCACTGTAGCCAGGTTTCCAACAGTGCCTTGCACCACGGACTCATACTCAACTCAGAAGGGGCTGGTGCCCAATGCGGGTGGCTGAGCTGATCCTTAATATGTTAAATGTCTTCGCCTCTTAATGTTTCTTGGTCTTGCTTTTTTCCATGTCCTCCCCACCACTCCTGCCACCTTTAAGTTTCTCCAGCTGTCTAATTTCCTGGCCAATGTAAAATTCATCATCAACCTAATGCAACCTTCTCAGCAGCAGCATTTCTGCCCTGTGATGGAAATAAAGTGTTTAGGGCAGTGGGAGGAGAAGATTCTCCAGGTGAATGGGGAAGGGTCTGTTCCAGCCTCTCCCCACTCCCACCAACTGAGGAGCTGTCGCCATCTCCCCCCACCTCTACCAGGGATGCCTTCACACCAAGGCTATTCTTACCAGCTGCCTCCGATGACAAATGAGGCTAAATGGACAAAGTCTGCAGTGTCCTTTTTCACTTGCACCTTTTTTATAAGAATATATTGTAATACTAAAAAATATTAAATTCATACCATCCCTATCCATTCTGCCTTTAAACTTGTGCCTCCTTCCTATGAGGGGATTTGGGGTGGGCTAGGAGTGGTATCCTGGAGCCAGCTTGTATCAGCTCTGAGAACCAATTGTTCGCATTTTCAGGAATTTGGCAAGCCATTTGACATTACATTGGTAGCTTGCAATTACGCCACGTGGGAGTATTTATAATAACAGAAATGGTCTTTACCGGAGAGCTGACTGTTCAACATTTGCCAGCACACCTTGGCAGAGGGCAGAGGGGAGGCAGGCAGGAGGCACCACTGAGGATAGACCCAAAGACATCTAACCAAATTAGAGAGCCCAGCAGGCCAGAACAGTGTTTGGGGATGTGAAAACCAGGAGCGTCTAATTGTCCTCTCTGATCTCCAGTAGGAGGTGATGCAAGCAATGAGCTTTGAACAACCCTGGCCACCACCTGACAAAAAGTTTCCCTTACATGATGCATTTCTATGCCTCCCACTTCACTTCACATTCTCCCACAATGGGGCTATACAGAGAATATGCCCCTTCTTCCCCCAGGGCAATGTGTCTTGGGATAGGGTTAATAGGTACAACCTTCCCTGTGAAATGGCAGCAGCCCGGTGCCCTACCTACACAGTGTCTTCATTCTTGCATCTGCAAAGTTGGCATCATAGCTTTATTTGTGCGCTGTGAGGGTGAAGGCAATCTATCGTCGTCTTCTTTCCCTGATATGCTCCAGAATCAAGAGGGGTGGGTGAAACAGCCATGAGCAGGGCCAGGTGTGGGCTGCGTGGTCCATCAGGAGTCCTTAGGGCTGTGACCCATGTGTGCATATCCTGTTTCAGAGGAGGGGTCCTGAGGAAAGGGGGCCAGCAAGACTGGGCAGCGGTTAAGCTGAAAGCCTGCAAGTTTGAAGGGACGCAGACTTGGGCAGAAGGAGAGATGAAGTCAGGGCAGGACAGGGCTGCGGCTTCACGGACTGAGGGAGGCAGAGCTGCTGGGGAGAAGCTGGGATGCATTACTCAGTCAAGCTTGTGCTCTGCTCTCCTCAAAGTGGGCTCCTCTGCTTAATGAGCCCTTAATCTCTCCCCAGGAGGGCAGGAGAAGAGAAAACCCAAAATGAGAAGGAAAAGTTCTGGGCTGGACTGTCTGAAACTGGTGGTCTGCAATAGTCCACAAAGAACATGATTTCTCAGTTACCTAGCATTGCTGGCTGCAGTCCCGCTCCCATGACCTTAGTGTCTGTCCCGGAAGGCTTGAGGGCCTGCTGGTATCTTCCCTAAAGAAAGGAAGCTCCATTGATCATTAGAGATCATCTAGCAGCAGGCCTAGTAGTACAGCAGGCTCTCTTCGGGTTTACTGCTCAAGGTAAACAGTGACCGTGATTAAAGGAACCTGACCTCTTTCCCTCAGCCCAAATTGCATCCCATCTCCAGGCCTGGCTGGGCCATGGGTGAGAATGGCAGGAAGGAGCTAAGCCCGATGGAAGTCCCCGCGCTGGCCACCAGTCTTGCTAATGAGCTTGATCTCCTCCAACACGATGTCCCTGCTGACAGCCTTGCACATGTCGTACAGGGTGAGGGCGGCCACTGCAGCAGAGGTCAGGGCCTCCATCTCCACCCCGGTGGGGCCCCGAGCCCGGCAAGATGCCCGGATCTCCACGGCATGGCGTGTGCTGTCCAGCTCCAGCTGCACCTGGGCGTGGCTCAGGGCCACGTGGTGGCACAGAGGGATCAGCTGGCTGGTCAGCTTGGCTGCCTGGACTCCAGCCAGCTGGGCCACCACCAGGGCATCTCCTTTCTTGAGCTGGTTCTGCTGGACAAGCTTGAAGGCTACAGGCCCCAGGAGGACCACGGCTGAGGCCACAGCCACCCGTTCTGTGTCTGGCTTCCTGCCCACGTCTACCATTGCTGCCCGTCCTTCCGAGTCCACATGAGTTAGTTGTTCTGAGGTTAGCTGGGGTCCTGAGGGGGCAGCAGAAGCCCAGGAACCTGGGCTAAGGCACTTTGAGTTGGCATCTGAGTCTGCATGGGAAGTGTAGTGTCTCTGAAAGGAGCCAGACCCCAGCTGCTGCTGGGCTAGAGGAGGGGTCTGGGGGACCCTGTATCCTTTCCATAAAGTGGCCATCTGGCTGGAGAAACTCATTCTGGATCTTAGACCCTCAACATGGAGGGCATCCCAGGAGGAAATGCTTGGATTGGCTGGTGGGGAATCACGGAACATCAAAAATAGCTCTGCAAGTCAAGAAGAAAAGAGAAGAAAGACTAAGTCCAAAAGGCAATTATTTTTCCCACCTGTACTCCCCAACCCTCTTCCTATCCCACCTCAAGTTCTCTTTCACAGTGAGGGGAAAGAGGAATGAAGAACAAAAAGCTTAGCGGGAAGAGACAAAACAGAAGATCCACAGATAGATTGCATCCAGAGTCCCAGTTCACAGCCCTTCTCACCCAGTGACGGATGGGGTAACAGCCCTCCCAGACACTGCTGTGCCAGGGTGGCGCAGGGTGACTCCGGGCCCCCTCCTCATGAAAACCTTCTCATTTCTCAAGTTCTCTCAAGCAGCAGCAAGCTGAGGCCCAGATCACATGACCTGTGAATGTCCCTTCAATTTTCTTAAACCTAGAGCTAGGTCTCACCCTAAATTACCAATTACACTTATTTTCATCTTCACATTCTCCATGCAGAGTTAATATAACCATTTAGTTTACAGACAAGATAATAAGAGGAATACTTGATCTACTTAAATGTTTTTCAATCCCCTCAAGCACATCAAAAGTGCACACAAACTGATGGCCTGATTCAGATGGTGCAGAGGGGGTCTGGGGAACGGCGCAGGCTCTTGTTACTCAAAGGGTGGCTGGCTCATGGACCAGCAGCACCAGCACTGCCTGAGAACTCACAAGAGATGCAGAATCCCACCCCAGACCTCCCAAGTCAGAATCCAAATGACAAAATCCCCAGTGATTCACATGCATTCTGAGATGCCCTGTTCTAGGCCACTCTTGATTGTATAGAAAGCAGACTAATTACCCAGTGTCTCTGAAAGTATGAAGCAAATGCTCCCCAGCTTCCCATCATACTCTAAGCCCTGGACTTGTCAATGTCAGAGGTGCAGCCTCCCTTCTGGGGAGATGCTGTCCAGGCCATGAAGGTGCCTCAGCTTGCATCAGGGCGCAATAAGAGGACTTTGATGCTGGGGGAGGGAGGAGAAGAGATAAGAGTCTTCCTCCCAATGGCGAGCTGCCTTTGCTTTCCTGGGCAGGTGGTGGGCAAAGATGGTCCTTGGGCTGTCTCTAGCCTGTTTTCCTCTGGGCCACTGAGCTCACTCTGCTCCAACCTCTACAAAAAGGATCTTTCGTCTCATTTTTCCCTCCTGCCAGTGGCACAGTTCAGGGGGCCCAGACCTGACTGTGGGCAAAGGGTCAAGGCCTCACCTGCTCTAATCTGGGCACCATGCCAGAGGGGCAACAGCCACCCTACAGCTCCTCAGTGACTAGCCCAGCCCCCAGGGGTAGGAGACCACATAAGGCCTTAAAAAGGGGGACTTTTGTTTGAAGCATCCTACACACAGTGATACGTCCTATGCAGATAATCCCGAGAGTTAAGGAATTGGGAAGCTGAAGTCTTGGCCATCTCCTCCGTGGAAAGGTGAGTAACATTATTAACTTGCTGCCTCAAGCTCTGCCCAGCCCAGCACAGATGTGTGGCCACACATCCACCAGTAGGGGCTAATGGCCAGATAACACGGTGCATGGATCAGTCTATACTACAGAGGACACCCGTCATGGTATCCAAACTGGGAGATTTTAGAGCTGAGGAAAAGGCCTCTGTTTTAACGGGGATCTCAATTCTCAGGGAGCCGCTAACTTAGTGATCTTTAAATCTGGTGGACCATCCCTCTGCTCCAATTTCTGGTGAGACAGAAGGTTCATTTCTGTGGCAGATATAGTAAGGGGGATGATGAACAGGGAGGGAAGAAACCACAGAACCTTGAAGGTTAAGAAGAGATGAAGGAGGAATAGAACACACACAAGGATGAGCACATCAGCATGAAATGCAGGAGCTGGGGGTGCCTATGGCATGGCTCCCACCCCACGGGATCCCCAAATGACAAGGGTGAGTGGTTACGTACTGATGGGTCACCCACCGATGAGGATCATGGGCCGGTTCTTCATCTGGGAAATACTGAACATGCCTGGGGTGAGGGAAAGATGGGGAGGGAGAAGAAAGCAGGGGAAGGGGATAGAGAGGGTGAGGAGAGCAAAGTTCACTGAAACGAACGTGCTTGACAGCCCCAGCACATGCACTCAGCTATATGCGCCCTGACAAAAGGCCCCCACATGCGCACTGCGAGGTTGCTCATGGCTGAGCCCAGAGGACCAGTCTGTGGACATCAGGATCCTGCCCTCCATAAACAGAAGGCAACATGTGGGATGAGAGAGAAGCAATGTCATTCCCCCCCTCCCCACCCAATAAAACAGCCCAAGAGAATCGGGGGTCCCCTCTCCTGTGTAGCCTCTGCTATGACATTTCCCCAAAGAAGGAGAGCCATCACTGCACCCCGAGTCCAGAGGGCCAACAAGAGTGAGTGCTAGTGGGGATGAGGCTGACTCCCTCCAGCTACCTACTAAGTGTTCCTTGGGCATCTCACCATCCAGGCCAGCCCTCTCCACCCTGCCCTTACCTGCATGCTGCCGCTTCTTCCTGCCCACAGCAGCCCCGATGATTCTCAACAGCTCCTGCTCAGAGGCCCCAGCTCGCAGGTGATCCCGCAGAGATACCTCAGAGTTTCCAAAGAGGCAGACCTACACGGAGGCGAGGACAACATGCCTTCATTATCGCTAAGAGCCTTGGCCTCTGGCCTCTGAGCAGCTAACTCCTTCCCTGAATTCCCCAGGGAAGGGCACCAGGGCCCAGGCCTCCCATGGCAGGGCCCCCAGCAGTGAGGGACAGAGGTGCTGTAGGGAGGTCAGAGAGGCTACAAGAGCAAGATCCAAAATTGGACTTCCCAATGCCTGTATGTGAGTGAGTCATATTTCCCTCAGTGTATTTGAAAAAACTAAGTAGATGCCAACAGAGATAGCACATAAAAATCCAGATCCGTACCTTCTCCTGAGACCCTTGCTGGAATGGCCTGTTTACCACCATGAGAATGGTCCCCAGTCAGCTGGAGCTGTGTGTGTCCTGGAAGTCCCCTACCCCCTGCTGTGTCACACACATCCCAACTCACCTCAGCCCCTCCAAGTCACTTGTGGATGTCACCTGCCTGCCCTGTACTTATCTGAGCCTGCGATCACTGCTTGGAAGCTTCAGCTGAGGGCTGGTGGGGATGACAACTTAAGGTCGTTCAAACTTGCTCAATGCTTCCCAACTTCTGTAAGGGATGAGGCAGCCCCAGAAATCAATGTACCTACCATCCTTCCACCAAAACTTATAAAGCATCTACTCGGTGCCAGCTCTGCACAAGGCACTGTGGCCACAGAGAAAGAAGAATGTCTGAGAAGCTTCTGAGGGCAGAGACCACTGGGGAAGATAAAACAGAAGTGAAATCTAGGATCGTTCTAATTGCTTCACCTCATTCCTCAACTCCCCCACCAGCCCCAGGGTTCCCTTCTCTGCAACAAAGAGGTTCCTCCTGTGGACTTCATCTGCTGGGCCCCCCTCCAGCTGGCTCCTGCCTGGGAGATCAGGGGGTAAAGGGAAAGACAGACCTTGAGGCACTTCTCCCCTGCTTCCTCCCTGCTTTGATATCCGGGCAGCAGCTGCTTCTCTGCACAGCTCAAGTGTCAGTGAGGTAGCCTCTCTAAGGCTCCAGTCCTTCCTGGGCTACAGTGACATCAACGCCTCTCCCTTGGCCTGCCTAAGTGGGAACAGCTGTTTGCTGCTGCTGGTCCCAAGTACCTCAGTATCCCTTATTGATCGCCTTAATCCTATATGCTATAAATAGCTTCTTCACTACATTCTCTTCAGAATCCCATCTTCCATTTCCTGCCAAGACCTCACAGATACAGACCCCACCTACAGTCCAGGTCAATTCCATATCTCCAGCCCAGAAAAAAAACCCAAGCTTTTCAGCAACCTGCTGGATGGTTCCTTTTGGATTCAAGTTGGATGCCTCTAAATCCAACCCACCATCACCACCCTCCCACAACTGTAAAAGATCCCAAGGCCTCCCAGATATCTTGATGCCTTCCTCCCCTCCTTAAGCAAACATTACCAAGCTCTCAGAATCTTCCTTCAACACACACTCTTACATATTTGGAGAACCACCGAACAGTCACCTAAATGTCTTCCTGTCATCACATCCAACCTGTGGCTTATAAAACATGCATGGGGGATGTCTCCCCGGTTCAGGAACCTTACACAGCATCCTACTGTCCACAGAACACATTCTGAACCAAAGCCCTCTACAATGTAGTTTTCCCATAGCTGACTTTAATCTGCCCTAACCTGCCCAACCAGTATGAACACTACGTGTGCGCCCTACCCTCCTCACTTCTGCCCCACCCATTCTTCAGGCTTGCCAAGGTCTGCAGTGCTCTTCCTTGAGGCCCAGCACCTCACGGTCTATGCAGCCATGCATGTGGCAAGGACTCCCATGCCACCACACATTGCCTCTGTTTGGTCTTGCCTCTGAGTCTGCATGGCCCTGATGAGAAGGGGTCCCGACATCCCCCACAGGGCCGAATGCACACAACATGCTTGTTAGATATGAGTAACATCCATGTCTGGTTTCAGAGCTGAGCCCCTGGCCTGGTGGAAGGGGCTAACCATGGTGGGGGCCAGGCAAAATGCACATTGATTCTTCAGCTCTCCATGAGAGCTGGAAAGGAGCTCCCAAAAAACCAGAAGCTACTTCAGGGCCCCACAGAAGGAAGGAAGGAAGGAAGGAAGGAAGGAAGGAAGGAAGGAAGGAAGGAAGGAAGGAAGGAAGGAAGGAAGGAATGAATCAGGGTGACATTTCCAGAGTGGCCATGCATTCACCCCCACGTGTGGCTCCCATCATGCCCCCAAACCTGACATTATTGCACCAAACACCACCCACCCCTGCACTGTGCCCTGCCAGTCTTCTGTCCAATCAGGGAGCACAGGTGGGAGGAGCTATAAGAACACAGGTGGCAAGGGTCTCTGTGGTAGAGGGGATGCTCACCTTGAGGTTCCCATCAGCTGTGATTCGCAGGCGGTTGCAGGTCCCACAGAAATGCTCAGACATGGACGTGATGAAGCTGATCTGGCCTTGGAAGCCAGGGATTTTAAAGGCCTGGGCAGGGGAGAGTGGGAGGAAAAGGGCAGTGAAGGGGACGAGCTACAGAGCCCAGGCTCTCACTCAGTGACATCAGAACCTCCGCTCCTCAACCCTCTCTCAGAGGGGCCCTTATGAGGCTCCACCCGAGGCCCTCAGGTGATAGAAGAATCTGGTAAGATGGATGACCCATGGGTTCTTGACCCATGCCTGGCTTGCTCTAGATAACAGCTGCTAAGGCAGCATGTTTAGAAAAGGCTGTGTGGAAGAGGGATGAGCAGCACCCCCTGCCACCTACTGTAGTGTGTCCTCTGATACGTGACAGACCCCCACCCTAGCCGGACCCACATCTTCCTCCATGAAACAGGGAGGTGGCTGTGATAGCACTGATGCTTTCTGCTTAAACAGTACCATCCCCCATCACTGCATCCCCACCACAGTGCAGCTAGCCGCTAGCTCTCCATCCTAGGGTAGAGGCACGACCTTCCTCCAGGCCTGTCCCACACCTCCTGCTCCCTAACCTTGGCTGTGCTGGACTCCTCCTCTGGCAGCTTCTCCAGCTCTGGCCACTGCTGCCGGACAGTGTCCAGCATCTCCTTATAGCTGACCATCTTCTTGAAGTTCCACTTGTTGCCTGTGTTTGGGTTGGGGGAAAGCAAGGGGAGCTTCTGAATCAGAGTTGAAGGGGCCCCGGGGTCTCCGAGTCCATCCCCTGCCATAGCACCACAATCAGTTCTCCAGCCTCTTGGATGGGAGGGACAGGGGGCCCTGCCTAAAATGGGTGGATCAAATCACACCTACAGTGGACTCCGAGAAGCCACCAACAACCCATCATCATCCTAGACCCGGTGCCTGCTTGGGCCTCTCCCATCACCCCTGGGGTCACCCATACTCACCGGGTGAGCCATCCCACTTGACCAGCAGGCCCAGTCCCTTCTTCCCTTCCCCCCCCATCCCTGGTCACTGACCATCAAAGGGCATGTACTCTATGAAGCGCACGTCCAGGGGGAGGCCCTCGGTCAAGGCCGCAAAGTCCAGGAGTTCATCCTCGTTAAGGCCTCGCATCACCACACAGTTCACCTGGCCAGGGGACAGTGGGACCATGAGAGCTGTGCCCCCTGCATTCCTTTGTGGCACCCCCATGGGCACCTGGCTTCCACTCAGGGACCCATTCCTGCTTCTCCCACTCAGTTCTCTAAGTTGGGGGGATTCCATGGGGTCACTGATTTTCTCCTTTCTCACAAGGGTGGGTAGGGCTGGACCAGCTGTGAGAGAAGAGGTAGGAGGATGCACGCATTTCAGCCTTGCTGGCCAGAGCTGAGGGCTCTCAAGTAGGCCGGGGGCCATGAGGGGAAGGCCAGGGTTGTGTGGAGGGACGTCGGGAATTCACAGTGGGGGCGTGGCCTCACCTTCACAGGGTTGTAGCCCAGCTCGATGGCCTTGTGGATGCCCTCCATGACCTTGTGGAAGCCTAGGAGGGAGAAACAAGGCTCCATGAATTTCTGCTCTCTCCTCTTCCCCCACGCCTCCACAGAAAAGCACCAGAGCTATAAAGGAGCCTCAAAAACCATCTCATCTGGAGATTGGCAAATGTTTTCTGAAACAGACCAGAGTAATGTCGTAGGCTTTGCAAACCTAGAGGCAACACGGAGGATCCATGTAAGTATATGTCACACAGTATTGACTCAATTCCAAATATAGCAGTGATAACTAAGTACAATGTTTTGTAAACCAGATCTACAAATGGGATACAATCATGCAATTCTTTTTGCAGGGACAATATTTTGCTTAAATGGAATCATAATGTTCCCTATCATCAACTGATTGCGAATGTTTACCGTAAAATGCATTCTTGGCTCAAAGGCTATATGGAAACGGATGTGGCCCTCGGGCCATAGCATGCTGACCCTGGATCTAGCTGAACCCTCTTGTAAGTCTACAGGAGGAAACGGACACTCAGGCAATGCCCTGCTCAGAGCCTCATGGCTCCATCTTTCAGAATGCAGGTTTTCCACTCCCATTTCAGTGTTCTTTCCTCAACAGTTCATCAATGATTCACGCAACACATACCCTCCAAGCACCTACTATGCACAGGTGCTGTTCCAGGGCTGGAAAGTGATTACTGTCTCAACAATCATTCACCACAGTCAATGTGACCCCGGCTGACTTCTGCCCAGTTGTCGCATGCATATAATCACGTGATCACCTACTGCATCCCGGCCCCCTCCGGCAGCCCCCAGCCTGCACAGCCTGGGTGGTCACCTGTCAGAGAGGGTGCCTAGTGATGGTCTCCAGAGTTTCCTTGCAGCATTTTCAGACTGCTCAGTGAGAGGGTAGAGGGAAGAATGTGTGGCTTTGAAAAAGCAACGCTGCTAGGATAACCTAGAGCTGTAAGTTTTCTTTTCTGTGAAACACTCCCCTCCAAAGGCAGGTGGTGGACGAAACAGTATGAATGGGAGGGAAGATCTGATTTCTGCAATCCTTGTGCCAGGAAATAAGAGACAAAGAGAGGGGAGAAGGTGTATATAGGGGTACAGGCCACAGATCCACCTCCTACTTTCCCACTGTAGGGCCCTTGCAGGTTCTTTACTCCTGCTTCCCTTCGGAGTATGTGCCATTGATTCAAACCCTTCTGTTCCTCAAGGCCAGCATATATGCCTCCTCCTTGAAGTCCTCCTAGTTCTCTCCTGCTAATTCTTTCTTTCTTCCTCCCTGTAACACTTTAATCAATAGCACAAGGCAAGTAAAGGCTGTCCTGGGGATTTCATCTTTTGGCCCTTAGCAGCCTGTAAGGCAATGTCTGTGTGTCTTCTGTCCCCTCCACAGCACCTAGAGCGGCGCTTTATAGAGGAAGGAGATGGAGTGAGTGCTTCCTCAGCACACGGAGGGTATAAGCAGAGCATCACACCCTGTTTATGAAAAGGGAGAAAAGAAGATGGTGGGGCTGATCTTGAAGCTATTTCCAAGGAAGGAGGAGGAGAGCTGGGTCTCCCTGCCATCCCTCTAATTCTCCAGAGTCCTCAATCATGTACCCCCTTCCCCCATATCAAAAGGTATCCAGACCTGAAAAGCCTTTGCCCCAACATGAGATCCATGCCAAGGGGAAGCCAGGCGTTGGTCCACTACGACCCAGAGCTCAAGGCTGGCTCTACCTTTCCACCTTTGGCCTCCTGAGGCAGCCGAGCAGAAGATGTGGGTGTGCTTGCAGCAAGGGATGCCTAGGAGAGGCTTATATCCAGGCAGGCACAGGGACAACCATGGGGGACTGCTGGGGGGCCCCCACTCGACGGCACACACCCACACCCTGGCGTCCCAGAGTGGCTACTTCCACCTTGGGCTGTCCACGTTTCTTCAGAGCTCATTGTACAATGACCAGTTCCACCCAGTTTGTCATGGACTGTCTTGGTTTTAAAACTTCAAGTCCTTCATTCTAAAACCCCCTCCAGTCCTGGGCAGACTGGGGCTGGGGTGGTGGGGAGGTTGGTCTCCCTAGGTCATTAGCACCTGGCCCCAAAAGTCACTGATGTACATTTGGCAAAGATGAGGGGTGAGAAATAAGTGCTGTGACTTACCAATAGCCCAGGCACCAAGAGGAAGCGACCAGGCCCCTTGCTCAGCACTGGCCATGCCCTCCCCAGCTAAGTGGACTCTGGGAGGGAAAACCCACCCCATCCACATCTGCTCACCTTTCCTGCGGACGATGAACTCAAATTTGGCAGGCACCAGGGTGTCCAGGCTGATATTGATGGCGCTAAGACCAACCTTCTGAAGCTGGGGCAGCATCCGGGCCAGGTTGATGCCATTGGTGGTGACACCAATGGTCCTCAGCCCTTCCAGCTGCTGGAGCTGGGCTGTAAGGACAACAGGAAGGGGGTCAGACTGCTTGCTTGTTCTTGGTAAGGCCAGGAGGAGGGCTGGAAGGCAAAACTCTGTCCAGTCAAAGAAAAGAGGCTCTTTACAGACCCATATTAACCAAGCCAAATTTTAAAAGAAATCTAAGAATAAAAATTGACAAAAATAACCAAAAGATTAAGCACTGAGTGCTCTCTCTTTGCTAGGTGCTCTGCTGATGGCTTTGCACACATTGGCTCATTGAAGCCTCACAATAACAATGATCTCATTTAGTAGATTAAAAAAGACGTTCTCTGAAAGACTATGAAAATTGCTTAATGTCACACAGTAAGAAGACTTGGCATTTAAATCCACGTGTACCCAACTCAGGACTCTGTTCTTAACAATGAACTACTACACAGGTCCTGATATTCTGTATAATGAATGCATAAAAGTGTTTGAATTAAGGGCTATTTGACACTCCATTCTACCAAATGTCCCTAGAAATAATGGAAGGATTTAAAAAATCCATAACAGCATTGGAAGGTAAGAAAGAATGCTGTAAATAGCCTAGAAAGGTAAAAAAGTACTGAAAGAAAGCAAATGGGATTGATCAGATGGATAGAGACCACAGCTCAAGTGCACCCAGGAGTTACATTTGGAGGAGTTGGGCAGGTTGGCCTCATCCTTCCCCGCAGGCAGGGGAAGGCAGCAGAAGCATTTGCCTCAAGGATAGAGCACCAGTGCCGACACCTAAGCCAGCCATGTGGCTGTGTTAGTTTCTTCTCATGCTGCTAATAAAGAAATACCTGAGATGGGTAGTTTATAAAAAAAAAAGACGTTTACTTGACTCACAGTTCAGCATGGATGGGGAGGCCTCAGGAAACTTACAATCATGGCAGAAGAGGAAGTAAACATGTCCTCCTTCAAATGGCGGCAGCAAGAAGTGTTGAACAAAACAAGAAAAGCCCTTCATAAAAACCATCGGATCCCGTGAAAACTCACTATCATGAGAACAGCATGAGGGTAACCACCCCCATTATTAAATTACCTCCTACTAGGTCCCTGCCATGACACTTAGGGATTATGGGAACTACAATTCAATATGAGGTTTGGGTGGGGACACAGCCAAACCATACTGGCGGCAAGCCCTGAGTCCTGGTGACACTCAGCAGTACCTCACACCCCTTCTCCACAAGCTTGGAGCAGCCCATAGAAACACAACATTGCCAGGCAGGCCGACACAGACCTCAGGCACTAAGATGAGTATGCCACCAAGAATTAGTAAACGTTAAAGGAGGATGCCATGAAAGAAAGATCACCAATTCCTCAAATAGAATAATGAAAGGAAGAGGAGAAGGAACAGTGGTAACAGAAAACAATTCTTTTAAAAAGCAGAGGGAATATCCTCATTGGGCTAAATACTCAATCCTGAAAATAAACCAATGGAAAATCCTAATTAGGGCTCTTGAAAATTAAATATATAGTTGCAAACAAAAAGAAAAACTTGAGAAGCAGAATGGACACAAGAACAAATGAGCAAGCTGGAAAATTCGGCAGAGGCATTCTTGAAGAGCTGCATACAAAAGACCAAAGAATGAAAAGAATGAGTCTGAAGAAACACACCTGCTCACATTCAAATCCAATAAAATCTAGAGAAAAGATAAACCGTCAAAATATGTACAGTAGTTATCTTTGATCAGTAGGATCACAGGTGATTTTTTATGTTTATTTATAGGTAACATTTCTTTCTATAATGAACGAGTTTTCTTTTAGAACGTGGGAGGCACGCATACACCCCTCCCCCTGGATTTTAGCTGACCTCTGCTACATGGACAGTGCCACTGACCACATCCTTCCAGCCACCAGACCAGTTGTTTCCAAGAAGCTATGTAAATGCATGTCTGTACGAAGGCTCAGCTCAGCGCTGCATGAAAGCGGAAACCAAGACTCAAGTGTTCAAGTGAAGCCGAACTCAGAAAAAGGCAGAATATTACAAAATTCATCATCGGTTTAAGGTAGGGGTGTACGGAAGTGCACACACTCATGGTGTAAGAATAAAATTATATAATCTTCCTGGAGAGTTGTACATGGAACTTTTTAAAGCTTTGACCTGAAATTCCACTAAGAATTTAATCTAAGGAAATAATCATGGATGTGAATAATATTTATCTACAAGAGTGTTCATTACAGAGCAATACGTAATTAAGGAAAGTGGGAAATAATCTAGAGAGCCAACTATAGCAAACTGGTTGAATTATGTTTTCTCTGGATAATGGAATATTATGCAACTCAAAATGACTCTGTAACATCATACACTGGGGTATAGGGAAATGCACACACTATATTAGGTAGAGAGAACTGTAACACAAATGCAGTCAACACAGAAGACAGTAAACATGAGATGCAGAGAAAAATGGCAGGCAGGTCATAAAACCAAAACGTCAACAGTGGTTACAAACAGGCAGTAACAACATTCTTTCTGCTTTTCTGAAATAAACATAAATTACTTTTGTTAAAAATGAAGTTTACAAGAGCTGTTGAAAAAGGCAAGAGTTTCACTCTGCCTTTCCCAATAAGGAAAATTAGCAGTGGTTGTTCACACCTGCAAAATCAACCCTGGAGAAACACAGAATCTATTCTTTCCCTTGCCCACTGAGGCCTCAGCACAGTCACCAATTATCGCCTTAATGAAGAAATCAGTGGCAACTTCCCAAAGAACTAGTTTAAAAGTCAACTGGAGGCTGGGTGTGAAGGCTCACGCCTGTAATCCCAGCATTTTGGAGGACAAGGTGGGTGGATCACTTGAGGTCAGGAGTTCAAGACCAGCCTGGCCAATGTGGTAAAACCCTGTTTCTACCAAAAAGACAAAAATTAGCCAGGTGTGGTAGTGGCACATGCCTGCAATCCCAGCCACTTGGGAAGCTGAAGCAGGAGAATCACTTGAATTCAGGAGGTGGAGGTGGCAGTGAGCCGTCATTGCATCACTGCATTCCAGCCTGGGCAGCAGAGTGAGACTCTCTCAAAACAGAACAGAACAAAACTTCATAAGCTGATTTTAAAATTTATATAGCCAAGCCTTAGTATATGTGAAACACTGTTGAAAAATAAAACGAATTTGCCCTACCAGATAATTGACTGACGAAGCTACAGTGATTAGGACAGGTTGATATTGGCACAGAGACTAATAAATTGACCAACGGAACAAAGTAGACCTGAAACAGATCAATACTTACAGAATGGCAGATTTATGGAGTGAGGATTGTTCAATACAAATAACAAGAAAAAGACAACTATCCATATGGAAAAAAATTACATTGGGTTCCCAAAAGTCATCTACAGATGAACTAAGGACTTATATGCTAAACTTAAACAATTTTTAGTGAAGAACATAGGTAGGTGATCTGATCTGGGGTTAGGTATTTCATTAACAAGATATGAAAACAACCATGAAAGAAAAAACAAAATACTGAAGAAGAACTGCTACTAATCAAAAAGAATCATTACACATGGTATACTTTTTTTTTCAGATTGGGAGGAGATATCTGCAACATATGTAAAGAACCTGTACCAAATCAATATGAAAGGACAAAGAACTAAATAGAAAAATGGGCAAAAGACATGAACAGGAATTACACAGAAAAAGATATTTTATATTTATGTTTAGCTAATTAACATGTGAAGAGATGCCAACTTCATTCTTAAACACAAAAATACAAACTAAGACCACAGTGAAATATAATTTTACACTTGTTCGACTGGTGAAAAACCAGAATAGTAGTGCTGGGGAAGCCGGTTGACAGGATCCCTTACATAGTGCTGGTGTAAGTATATTTGGCACAACCACTTTATGAAGTAATGCCACATTGTTTTCCAGAGTTAAACATTCACATACTTCATGATCTGACAATTCCACTGCTAGACAAAGTGTATGCCAGGAAATGTTAATGAAAACAAGAATGTTCAAAGCAGCACTGTCCACAACACAACTGGAACCAATTCAAATGCTCGCTAAAAGGAGAAAATAGGGTACATTCACATAATGTAGCAGTAGACCACAGAGGAAAAAAGAACTCTATAACATCATGCATTTTACTTGAGTCAAAAAAAAAAAAAAAAAGTCCTGAAGATTACACACAGCATGACACTGACAAAGTTGAAAACACTGTATCTACTTGTTTAAAAGCAAGGGAATGGGCCAGGTGTGGTGGTTCATGCCTGTAATTCCAGGACTTTGGGCAGCCAGGGCAGGAAGATCACTTGAGTCCAAGAGTGCAAGACCAGCCTGGGTAACATGGCAAAACACTGTCTCTACAAAAAATACAAAAATTAGCTGGGTGTGGTGGTGCGTGGTGCGTGCCTGTTGTCCCAGCTACTCTGGAGGCTGAGGTGGTAGGATCACTTGCCTGGGCAACAGAGCTAGACCCAGCCTAAAAAAAGGGGGGGCAGGGAGGTAGCAAGGAAATGATAAATAGAAAACTGAGGAATGCTTACCTTAGGAGGCAGTGTGGTGGGAGGCCACATAGGTAGTTAAAAAATATTGCTGCAAGATGGCCGATTAGTATCAGCTCTGGACTGCAGCTCCCAGCTAGAGCGTGAGGAGTGGACGCCGTATTTCCAGATGGATTTTTATTGCCCACAGTCCAGGAGATTCCCAGGCAGAGGGGCCCCACGGGTTGCCAGCACGGCTGTTTTGGCAGGCGTGGCGGGTATCCACGTAAAATACACGAGTCCGGATGTGGTTTCAGCTGGCAATTGAAGCGCCTGGGAGACAGAGTTGCCCGTTCAACCAATAAAAAGCGGACTGAAACAGGGAGTCAGGCCAGGAGATTTCCAGATGAAAAAGCACCACGAATCTCCAGTGTGGCTGTTTCAGCCAGCGCAGTGGATCGCTGCACGGGAAATGACACAGATCCAGGCGCCTTTTCAACAGGCGACTGGAACGCCTGGGAGACAGAGTCACCTGTTCAACTGATAAAAAGGGGACTGAAACAGGGAGCCAGGCCAGGAGATTCCCGGG